TATTGAGGTTATTTATTTATTTATTTATTTTTGTTTCTTACGAACCAACGGTCATGGACAAAACAAGACTTTAGATCATGGGATGGTTGGCCTAGCTATCACTATGTCTTGTCATTCACAAACATGACTTGACCGATCTTTACCCATTTGACAACACAACCAAAGTGGTTAGTTAAGTTCAAGTCCTAAAGCACTTGTCACTTGTGTCTTTCAACAAAACAACATATTTTTAATGAATATCAACAATTTTATAATGCCCAAATTGTTGTTATTTAGATCCACAAACCTTAATTGTATGTTGTGAACACTAGTCAAGCCGGTCCTATCATTTTATAGGTCCGGGTCGAAACAAAAATAAGGGCCCTTAATATATGAAGTTAAAAGATTGTAAATTATTTTGTAGACTCAGCTCGGATCTACCTTTCAAGGTGGACCTGGGTCCAAATGATCACAATTTACATTTTAAAAATTCACAATTTTTATACTACGAAGTACGAACACACAATGTTAATATATATGTAATTGATTATCTTATTTTGTATTCACAAGTTTTTTTCAAATATTGTAGTCACACAATATTAACATATTATGATCTGATAACCCTGTACTTTACTCACAAATTTCCTTCTATAGTTGTTATGTGTTTTGACTTAGAAACACAATTTATATTCTAGAAGTTCACAACTCTAATACTAAATATACATAATTTATACGTCGTTTAGGACCAGAGTCCACCTTGTAAGGTGCACTCTAGTTTATGGTTTAAAAACTCTTATAAAACATTGTATGTGTTAATTGAAAATAATAAAATGATAATTTTGAATTTTTGTAGTTTTTTTTTTAATTAAAAAAGCATTGTATAATAGCCTTGGAGTAGTGTCAATTCAAACTTTGGGACTCTATATGAAGTCTAATCATAAATTAATTCAAACATTCACTAATATATATCTATTAACTAAGATAAATATATCAAATGGTCGTAATTGTTAAGTAGATTTAAAAATTAATAAATAATTTTGAAGTAATGGATTCAAATATTTGCATATACAGGTTTAGGGTTTTTCTAAAAACAAAGTTAGGGGCCCCTCCCAACACTGGGCACAGGGCGGGTGCCCATCCTGCCCACCCCTCTAGGCCGGTCCTGACACTAGTCATGAGTCGTTTTCGAGTTTAACGTACTTGTTCAAAGTCTCAATATTCTTAACAAAAGGATAATCTATTATAGATAGATCTCATAGATAAGAGTGTTAAGTTATTGCGATGTTATAGGCAATCCCAACTTCATATATGAATTTCCATATGAATGCACAATGTTTTCTTGTATTAGGGTGCATGAGTGATTTTTAAATTTTAATTAAGTTTAGTAGCAACTGGAGTTTTAAATTTCATATCTAATAATGGACACATTATTTTTTTTTCCCTTCATACAAAATTGAAGATATATCTCTATTATTGTGCAACTAATATGAGTTCAGTCTAAATTACGTCTGTAAAGTTTGACTCTTACTTAATAGAATGTCTGATCTAGTCTATAACTTTTAACAATACAGTAATTAATAATATATGTAACTCATTCTTGGACTAAAATCTTGTAGTTGTTGTTGTTATGCTTTATTAACATATTGATTTAAAGTATGTATGTAATGTTGTTATCATGTGTGTCCACATTGCTTCCTACTTCTGCAAAATCTTTTGCTGCTTTTTGCACCTCTTTCATTACTTTTCTTTCTCATATCTAATCTTTAAGGTCACATATATTTGAATTTTGCCAAAGGGTTTCTCAAATCTGCTTTTCTTTTTTTTAAATGACAAGATAAATTCACACTCATCATTATATATCCAAGAGTATATATTAGTTACGTAAATCCTGTTTATGTGTAATAGTCTGTAAATCATACATGGAAAGTGAATTACACTATATAAAGACTCTATACGACAGGTTCAATCGAACAAGTGTCGAAAAGAACTAAACATGTGACCTTCAAATATGACAATTATGCTATATTCACGTACTTAATCACTTTTTTTCATAAACAAAGCAACTTTTATTGGTTATAATCTTAGCGCAAATTTTTAGACCCACGTAAAATAAATAATGATAGAGAATTTCCTATAAATATAATATGCCACTTGACTTTGACTAATCAAGCTTCATCAACAGGCCAACTTTTCCACCTAAGAATTGGTGATTCGAAGCCTATGTCACACTCTCACTAATTGGCCTGCAACCTTATTAAAGTTTATATCACATTGAAAGAGTACAACTAATAAAGGACAAATCTATGCCACTTTTGGTGGGATAAAAATTAAATTAGAATATAAAATATTGCATATTCATAACAATTATTGTTTTTATTAGTTATTATATATATAAGTGTAAAAATTATGAATTATGCCTCAAAATAAGTGATTGAATAGATGAAACATAACTCTCGTACTTAAATATTATAAATTTTATTCTTGTCAACATTATTTCGAGGGAATAAGGTTTACGTAAAACCATAAAAGAGAAAGAGGAGGCTATGCTTGGGTTAATATGACCAAACACATACTTAGAAATAACATATTAAGTAATACTGAATACTTAACATTTTCAACCCTAATAAAACAGGTATGGTGAGTTTGGATAGTTTTTAACCCATGTAGATTCGGGAGGGTTAGCGGGCTAGTGTTTGATTTGTTTACTATTATCCCTAAACATATTTTACAATCTTACAAGTTAACTTAAATTGAGATTCGATCATAAATATAATATCCAGTCTAATATATAGTTTTATTATACTTTCAAATCAAACAATAATAAGCACATATATGTATTACACTTTGTATATAATTAACATATAATGTATAAATTATGATTTAACAATTAATGAAAGAAGACAATAATCCTTTTGAAATTAACAACCATCCTACAATGTTAGCCATTGGACAACACTTTTCTTGATGAGGTAACCTTATCCATTTACCTACTAAATATAAAATATTCAACAAAGAATCTTTACTCGATGGAAGTATATATAATAATAATAATAATAAATTATAAATACAGAAAAATTAAGTGCAGATAAATTTTTAAAAATGAAAATGGGTATAAAAAGTAAATATAAGTAAAGTACAGGCTCGTTTGTGCTAATATGCAAAGATTTTCGCATTTATTAATGATCCAACCTAGGAGCCCACCTACGTAAATCTCACAGCGTGTCCTTGTCGTCTGTTCGGCCACAACTGCCCCCAAATACGAGCCAGTTTAAGAAAAGTCCTCCCTCACGCGCCACTTCTCCACTTGTGAATATTATATTAATTAGGTCCGAAAAATAATGAGCAAGTAATGAAACATGATTCATATAATTATGTTTGTATGGACAACTTAGTTGGTCATAATGATAAAATTTGGAAAGAATGATTCATATAGTTATATATCAAAAGATAATGAGTTTTGTTCTTACAAATATTATCTCAGTTGAGTTTACTGCACATGATATTCTTAGTGCGATTTACAATTTGTGGATCACTACACGAGATTATGTAGTTGTTTTCTTTAGTATCTTTTGTATGGTTTGTAAATTGTTACACAAAATGTTATGTGGTTTGTGAATTGTTGTATACGAGAAATATTCACCCAATGAACACGCTCGAAAATGATTGTGCATTTTTCTCTTTATAAAAAAATATGTATATGTCATCAAAGCATTAGTCTAAGGAATGAGAATCATCACTTAAAAAATATATTTCCAGTAACAATGTGAGAGTTTAATTCATGCCACAAACATTGAACGTTTACGTTTGGACTTTGAATTGATTTCATTATGTGTAAAAGTGTATATAGTACGATATTGAGTCTTAAAATTAAATTGGTTCAATTTATCTCCTTATATGTTTGAGATGAGTTCATAAAATTTATAATATAACAGTAAAATTTAAAAAGAATTATGAACTTCATAAGTTTTGAAAATTATACTCCGTATTATATTTTGCTTAAAGGGAATCGCCGTTGATGCGCGTGGGTTTTGAATTTGTGATGTCAGCAAGATGCTTTTAGCAAACGGTTGAATGCTGTGTTGGGCTGCTCTTGCTAGTTGCTAGTAGAATCAGCTGTACATTTTCTATTCTAAAGTATCTTTCAACAATTAGCTTTTTGTAACAACTTATTGTTTTAAAATTCTAAAATCCAAAATCCTATTCAAAATCACTTTTTTTTCAATCAATTTATTGAGAAAATTATTTTGCATGCAATCAGCTATTAATAGTTAATTTACCAAATAATTTTCTACAATCAGCTAATACTATCAAATTAGTCAGACCCACTAATCCAATCTACTAGTAGCTACCAGCTAACAACTATTTACTAAACACCTACATAATCTACACTCATACATATAAAGATTATTGTACCATGAGAACCTCCAATCAAATTGGTCGGATAGTATATTAATAATAATACGATTTTTAACTCTTCATAAAATTTGTTTATTGACATTTTTTGTTTGAATTGTTTAGATATGAGTAATGTTCTTGTAGTCATTTATCTAGTACACATATTTGCTAGCTATGATAAACAGCGACTACAAATAATTTCGTAAATCATTGAATATCTTAAAAATTACTTCATGTGTCTCATTTAATCTGTTTTACTTACTATTCATTGGTCAAATCAACTATTTCTTCTTTGTTTATTTTCTTTAGTATTTTTTTTTACTTATTTTTAATTTGATTTTTTGTGTTTAATAGTTTTTTTTAGTGTAGTAAATAACTTCAGTTAAGCCTTTAATCAAACCAAACACATAAAATGGGACGGAGAAAGTATACTGTTTTATTATAATTACAATGTTATAGTTATTGTAAAGAAAAAAAAAAGATAGATATATTGATGAATATAATAGGGAAAAAAATTAAAGATCCTACGACTTAGTCGCTTAGAGGATTACATATTGATGCAAGGGAGATTGGAGAGATCTATAAACAAAAAAAAATATATATATATATATTTGGTGTACCCAAAAAGCACGGAAAAGAGGAGGCAGAGACAGAATCTAGAAAATGAGCTACAAATACCCATGTCCTTCCTTCACTTCTTCGCAAGCACAGAAAATCTTTGATTTTTTCTCCCCATTATTTTATTCGGTAGATGCGTTGTTGTGATATATATCTATCACTCTATCAGATTGCCATTTTGGAGAGGAGAGAAAGAAAAGAATGGGGGAGAGAGAGAAGAATAGAGCGAATCAAGATGCCCCATAGGGCGAAAGAGAAAGTTGTACTATACTCCCATAAAAGATAAAAGAAGATGTTGACAATTTTCAAGTCATTGTTCTTCTCAAAGGCTTGATTTTGTGTAGAGAGAGAGAGAAGAGAGAAATGTTTATCTAGGTTCTGTTACTGTGCCTGCTTTTGGTTGATCAGAGAGTGGCCCAACAGATGGGGATTTGTTTCTGGGTTGTTTTCTTGTGCAGATCATCTTTTTTAAGGTTGTGTTCTTCAATGGCCGCCAAGGTACAAAGATTGCAGCTTTCTGGTTTTGGGTCTCGGAGGTCTTGTCTTTCTTGTTGAGGTTGTTGTTGGGCTCAGAAAATATTGCACTTTTGAGAGGGTATAGCACAACTGCAGAAGAACTGGGTGGCTAGGTAAACTGTTTTAGCTTTTTTCTATGCTTTTAATTATGGGATTTTGATTTTTTTTCCCAGTCCCTTGATGTTTAGATAATTCCCAGGTAGAGCCTTTTGGTGTGAATGTTTGTTTTGTCTGATAAGTCTGAGACTGTGTATGCTTCAGTGAATTGATAGCTGCCATAGCTTATGCAGTCACATAAAAGAATGTGATTTAGTATGGTGAACATGATTCTTAATTGCATCAAATTCTGCTTCCAAAATTTTGAGTTTGTGTTATATGCCAAGATTGGGAAGTGGTTTCTTGTGGTGGCTGGTTGTTTCCAGGATCAAGATTCAAGCATTCTTGTTCTTATCAAATTTTCTGCTTAAATACCTGACTGGTAAATTCCGCCTTGTGACCTTAGCTGACAAAGGACTATATGGAGGGAAACCAGTCTAGGTTGCCCATAAATCAGTCTAGGTTGTCCATAGTTGATCGACTCAAATCAAGAAAGTCAATAGGCCACTCTCAACTGATGTTTACCAAGCCAACAGCCGACCAACTTGGCTGGGGTTGCCCCTATATGGAGGTAAACCAGTCTATGTTGCCCATAAATCAGTCTAGGTTGCTCATAGCTGATCGACTCAAATCAAGAAAGTCAATAGGCCACTCTCAACTGATGTTTACCAAGCCAATAGCTTGACTAGCTTGGCTGGGGTTGCCCTTAGGCTTGAAGTTTTTCATTCTAGTTGTTGGTTGATCTTCATAATTGTGCTTTCTTTCCTTCCTTTTTGGTGTGTTTGGGCAGTCCAAGTTATAGTCTGAGTTTACTAAGTTGATTGCAGGAATGGGAACTAAGATACAATGTAAGACGTATTTGCCAGCGTTTTACTCTGTAAAGGATCTGAATGGCCACGTTAATAATAGGGTGTCTTTACTAAATCATGAAGAACAAACGCTAAGAAGTGTTCAGCATTTCGACTTTTTCGCATCATGCGTGCCTGTGCCTGTGGATGGATACTTTGAATACGACAAGGAGAAAGTGAGGCAGACGATTTTGAAGCATGAATCGATATTCAGGCACCAGGTATGACGATGATGATCAAAAGTCGTAATGGTTAATCATTGTATAACACTTCAAGATTTCGAATGGGTTCTAGCTTTTATGTGACATATTTGCTTGCTTTGTATGTAATGAAGTAAACAGCTTCTCGAATTCTGCTCTAATCTTCTATATGGTTTTCGTGTCTTTTTGGCGTTTCAGCTTCAAGAACTGCATCGCCTTCACAGGAGGCAGATGGAACTTATGAGTGAGTTGAAAACGAGAGAACTGCAAAGGAATTCGATGAAAGCTGAGACCTTTCGTTTCGGGCACTTGTTGTCTCACGCTCCTCCTCCCAGTTACAGTCGGTCTCCGTTTGAATTCATAAAAGGCGAAAACCGGGCTAGTCATTTCTCCTCCCGAGACAAAGAAATTCCACGGGCTGGTGATGAAGACAGATATCTCGAGTTCTCAAAGAGGACCAATCGTCTTGCTGACTTGAATGAACCCATATTGCTCGAGGAAGCTCCAATCTTGGCCTCAAACGCCAATCCTCACAGAATCAATTCTCTTGCTGATAGCAATGAGAGTATGGATAAGTTGTCCCAGAATCACATCATAAGAAGGAAAGGACAGGAGCATTTGGTTATCGACATAAATGCTGGTAACGTTTATCTACTTAACTTTTAAGTTATATAGCGGGATTAACTCGAGGGGTTTGGGGCTACTGGCATAACATGTTTATCGATGGAAAATATTTCTTACTTTTCTGCTGTTCGATCAATGATTCTTATGCAGATGTTCACTCTGACAGTTCACATACGCCTTTTCCATCTAATAACACCAAGGCAGAACCCCCGAAGAAAAGGACGATTTTTGGTGTAGTAATATCCGAAGGAAATGAAGAACGATCTATGGCTGTTTCCAGTGGAAGTTGTCAAACGAAGCAAGAAAGTTCCAAGGGAGCATTGCCATGGTTCATGGTGAAATCGCAGCATGTTCTTGACGAGAGCAAAGAGGGCGAGAATTGTTATCACATGAATCTTGATTTATCGAAAAATCGTTCTCAGCAAATTTTCGGGAAATCAGAAATAGATGAGGGTTTTTCTCGAATTTTGAATAGGAAACAAGAAGCCAAGCCATCAACATCCATCAAAGATTCTGGGCACAGTGATATTGAAGTCGTTAAGAAGATTTTTGGGGTTCCGATTTTTAAGTCCTCTAAAGATGATGTAAATTCTGCAGATTCCCTCTCCCGGGATGTTCATGGAGCTAAGGATAATACTATTGAGAAGAGACTGGACAACAACATTTCCGGTTTTTGTCATCAGATTGATCTTAACCTGTCGTTGGATGAAGAAGAGGTGTCACCCCCGCCTTCTCTCCCTCGAGAAGTTGTGGAAATTGCAATAGCAGAAGAATCCCGGGAGGATATTAAATCAGGATTTGAGGAATTTAAGGAACCTCGTGGAGAAGTTGCGAGACGAGCTGCTGAGGCTATAGTTTCCATCTCACAGACTGGCGATAATATGAACTCGGAATCTGCAACTACTGCTTGCCTCGAATGGTTTGCGGAATTGATTACTTCCGAAGTGAATGGCGATGAGTGTGGGATAATGGAAGCTTCCCCGGGGAAAGATTCCATCCCCGATGGTATGGATTACTTCGAGTTTGCAACGCTCAAGTTGAGAGACATGAAGGAAGAAGGGCAGTGTTACGAGCCATCTATTTTTGAAATTCACGACGAAGAAGAAATAGGGGGGGATACAACACAATCGAAACGCCCCCGAAGAGGGCAGGCGAGAAGGGGTAGGCAGAGGAAAGACTTCCAACGGGATGTCCTGCCGGGAATCATGTCCCTTTCTAAGCACGAGCTAAGCGAGGATATCCTGACATTCGAGGAGCTGTTGAGAACCTCGGGTTGCTCTTGGCAGTCGTGTTTGCCACAGAAGAAGGCCACCGCCAAGAGTTGTAGGGGAAGGAGGCGGCGTGGAGGCGGCTCAACTCCCTCCCCCATTATAACCGCCACCACTCCACCAAACCAACCTCTCGGCAACAAAGTCGAGGTCGAGAAGGCCACCAGCCTAACGGGATGGGGAAAGAGGACACGACGCCTGCCAAGGCAGCGGTGTCCAACTACACATCATGTTCCTCTGATGCAATGCGAACGGGGATTAATCTGAGTATGGTACGGGCTTAAAGGTGGTCTCCTATTAGGGCCTGCTCGGGACACCTGACCAAAAAAAATGCTAACATGGTTCCTAAATTTCCTCAAAACATGTACTAGGAACAAGAGGCTGCATAACATTCTTGAAAGTAATAAGGTTGCAACAAACACTGTCAACTTACACCACCAGAAAAGGATGGCCTTTGTATCAGACCTCCCATTATTTATTCAGATCCGATCTTGATCAGACTGGGTTTGTGGCGGCTTATAGAGCTATAATGTCCATGTATTTCTTATATCATCTTTGTCTTATATTTGAGCTTATTAACATTATTTGAACTAATTTATAATTAATCCCATTATCCTTGCAGGTTCATGAAATTGTGGATTTACATATATCAGGCAAAAAATATATGCTTAGTTAAGTACAATGAAAAAAAAAAAAAGAACATTGCAGAAATCTACACCAATCTTGGCCACATTGTGCCTATAAGCAAAAAACATTTTTTTTAGTCACGAGGGAAATTCAAGGGTGTGCAATAGGTAAATCCCGCTTTCTAACCATAACCGGCAAAGGACCACAAGGAAGTAAACGAGTCTCGTATTTGTCATCATCCAATTGACATGCGTGTTTACTTTTCTATGTATATGCAATGTTGCAGAAGGCACTAGGTGCTAGTCTGGCACCCTAGCGCGCCTAGGCGGTCGGTTAATTCGAGTATATCGTCTACACTTTTTCCATTCAGGGCTGTGAGTACATGACTCGAGGAATATAGAAGAAGAGCAATCGAGCAGGCAAAAAATACCACTCAGTCGAGTTGGGTGCCAGCTAGGCGGAGTTAGGCGCCTGACTCGGCACCTAGTCAGCCGGTTAGTCGGACAGCCAACTAAAAATAGTCTAGGGCTAAAATCGTCTCAACCTAGGACCGCCTAGGCCTATTTTTACAACACTGTGTATATGTTTGACGATGCACTTCCTATTTTTTGTGTGGAAGAGACAATGAACTCCATCAACTTTTTCCCACTCCCACAATGTTTAATGGCCTTTTCAGCTTCTTCCCTCACATTCCTAGCTTCCACCCTCACATTCCTATTCTCCATCACCATTCTAACCTTCTCTGCAATCTCTTCCCCATTCACTAACCTTTCCTCACCCCAACCCCATTCCTTAACCCACACCCCCAACCCTGCCTTCTCCACAGCTTCAGCATTCATCTTCTGATCACCATGCTGTGGCCATGCCAGTATGGGCACTCCAAACCGAGCCGCATCCATTACAGAATCCCATTCACACTGGTTCATGAACACTGCAACTGCAGGGTGTCCAAGAATCTGTTCTTGATGTACCCTTCCTTCTTCAACTATTTTCCCTTTCTCTCTCACCCCCTCCATGAATAACTCACCAAACAATCCTCTCTGCTCATCTTTAAGGATCCACAAAAAGCTATACCCACTGATTAACAGCCCTTTTCCTATTTCCATGATTTGGTTTCTTGAAATTGGCTCTCTGCTTCCAAAGTTCACGTATATAACAGACTCAGAAGCTTTGTCGTCTAACCATGGCCACTGGCTGCATTTCTCTTGCTCGGTTGATACTAACGGCCCGAGAGGAAACACGGGTGGGAGAGAACTTAGAACTTTGCCGGTGTTAAGAGCTGAAATGGTTTCGGGTTCAAACCAGTTAAAGGTGTTCAAGAACACACCACTGACTTTACAAAGGGATTGGGCATTTGGTAGTAAGTAGGCTGTTAAGACATAATTTGTTGGTGAGTTATCCATCCATGAGTTGGGGATGCTAGATTTTGGGATAGGGGCTAATCCTGGGATAGCAATATCCGCGGGGAGATTCTTGAATAAAGCGGGGTTTTTTGAGAGCAGGACAGGAAGATATGCCACGGTGGAGTAAAACCGGGCTGAAGTAGTGGAGAGAATGTAGAGATGGATGCCGAGATCAGGTAGGATCTGTGTGAGGCCATCTGCTAGAATAAAATCAGAGACCAGGGAAGAAACTGGTTCATCTAAGGTGGATAGAAGAGGTCCTAGTTGCAGCAGAGAGCGCAAAATGGCATCGATTTGGAGGATGAAAGGGTCAAAATTGATGGTAGATTTTGAGGTTTTCACAGGAAGAATCTCAAAGTCCAGTTTCTTGATCTCTGGGTGGCTGGAGAAGAAGGTGGTGGTGTCATCACTGATGAGCTGAGGCTGCATGGTGATGAATGTGAGTGTACAGCCCCGTGAAGCAAGCATGGCGGCTAGCCGGAAAAACAGTTTCAGTTGCCCCACCCCCAATCCACTGGGAAAGAATACAATATGAGGACGTTTTGTATGATTGGTCGGCACGAGCAGTTCAGTTGGTTCTTGGGTGGTAGATTGTGGGCAAGAACTACTAGATTCAGAAATGCCAACATCCATATTGCACTAACACAAGTTTGATGTTGCAAAACACAACTTAACTAGTTGACTAACACTAACAACCACAAAACACTTAACCGAGAAATTCAATCTTTTTAAGAATGGGGGTTTGAGTTTCTTGAAGTTTGGTGAAGGCATATGCAATAGTTTGGAGAGTTATATAAAGTTTCATGACATTCAAATGTTGATAATTGGCTCACCTTTCATGTCTTTGTTTGGTAGTTCTTGAGACATGAAAGGAATCAAATTTGGCATCTCCAAGAATGCAAACAACCCCCCTTTTATTTTAATCCTATAATTTTTAGCACAACATTAATGAAGAGTGGACAAACCATTGGCTCACATCCTTTTAATAATATTGTAGCCAAAAATAGAGACAAATTATTCATATAAAACAATTCACACTAATGAGAGGACAAATGATTGTGTGGACCATAACAAAAAGTACAATTTTAATATACTAAAAGTACATTATTCGTGTACTGAATGTACTTTATATAAAATAATGTACTTTCAGTACTCAAATAATGTATTTTCCCTAAATATAATGTACATTTTTAATATACTAAAAGTACATTATTTGTGTACTGAATATACATTATTTGATAGTATAGTCCACACAGTCATAAAATGCACAATTTTGACATACATAATACCTTTGTATAACATATATATAAGCACACAATATAAATTGCCTTGAATAGAAGAGTTGATGGAACCAAAGATTTCAATCTAGTGACATTACACTAATTATTAAATATTATTCCAGCATATACTCCGCATCTGTCATCCATACATGAAAAGAAAATATTGGGCAAGATGACGATTCTGGAGTGCATATAATTTACAAATATCGGGAAACGAAATGCTAAAACTACCTCCTATTCGATCAACGTTGAAGTGTCCGTTGTTTGGATTGTTGTTTTTGTGCTTTGCATACCCAAATCACGCTGCTGTTTCGATTTTTTGGATGACCGGACAAATTCTTCGATTTTGGCCTTCAGCTCGGTGTTTGGAATCAACATGTCCGCGGTTAGATGAGAACGGTTGAATGGATCCGTCTGTAATCGAGGAAATCAGGAACTAGATTCTCAATGTACCAAATAGAACAATATAAGATGGATAGTAAACATATACATACACTATCGCTCAGAAGATGCCGCTGAATAACAGGCAAGTCGAGTGTGATCCTCGATGAGGGCAGAATGACGGGATCCCTCATCAATGTATACTGCACATTCAACAAAACATTATGAAGAAACATTTGAAATGCGGTCAAGGTTAATTATGCGATCCAGGAGGATATGAAATCGTACTTGAATAGGATCGAGGAATTCATCAGGGATTTCTCCAAGAGCAGCTTCGGTGTCCATGGCTTCTGTTGCTGCAACTTTGGCTTTAGCACCGAGATCAATAAACTCCTGTATGATCCTCGAGTCTTCACCGATTCTTCTAAGAACAACAGCTGCAGCGCTAAACAACTGAAGAAAATTCTATTTGTTAGATCAAAACTCAACCACAAGTGTGTGTGTGTGTGTGTGTGTGTGTGTGTGTGTGTGTGTGTGTATATATATATATATATATATATATATATATTGAATGCTACTGACTCTATTACAATGTAGTATCTGTTCGTAACTACTTTCTCAACCAACTGAAGCACAAAGAGCCAATAACGCCTCCACTAAGGCTCGAACTCACAACCTCCCATATGGGAGTCCAACCCGGGTGCCATTAGACGACAAGTTCTTGGCACAAGTGTATATTTAGAAGCCAGACAAATAAAGACTAACATATTAAAGAAAATACCTGCTCATTATATGAACGACCATCTTTAGTGATTGCGGTTGGGAAGATGTTCTCCTTATCTCCTCTAGCCAAATGCACATATATTTTGACAATCTTCAAAAACCCACAATTTTGATGAATTTTTGTCAAACTTCGAGATAACTAATGGCAGCCTCATTGCCACTAGGGTGATATAAAGATTAACATATATGGGATGAAAATTCATGATTGATAACAAGAACAAGCAATTCAAGAAACTTCCTTCTCAGAAAGGAAAAGATGCCATTCCCTTTGAGGCAAGCAAATGTTATTAGTATAGCACCTCAAAAAAAGAAACTTCTAAATTTAATTCAAGAACAAAAGCTTTCCACCTTCAATGAGGTTAGAAAATAAAATTCTTTGCACCAGCCAAATTCCATCTAAGCATACTCAGCAATTTTCAAAGTTCTATAGAAATTGTCCTCATTTCAATCAAAGAAATCAGTTACTAAATATCTTAATTTTAAGGTCACCTGCTTAGAATAACAATCCACAATATGAAACTACTAATATGCATACCTGCTTTAACAACTCTTTCGGACGAAATTCATACTTTTCAGGGTCTTTTAAGCTTAGAGATTTTCTCTGTGGGCCCACGAGTTGTAACAGAAAGTAATTCAGCATACTAGCAACTCTCTCCACCTGGAAGAAATCAAGAAAGATGTCTTGGTCATAAATCATGACCAACATTGGTAACTTCGACTAGAAATTAGAAAGTGAAAGATACCATCTCAGGAAGTAGAAAGGGAGCTGTGATCTGTTCTGAAGTAAATGTCAGCATGCTCACATCTTCATTTGCCAGCTTCATATCAATTCGAATGATCTAGAAACAACCAGAACGTTTTATTCAATTCCAAAATTGGAGAATTAAAAAAAAAGAAAAAAAAAAAAAAAAGTGTCTGAAGGGTCAATACTAACATTCTCCTGAGAGTGGAAAAGTCGAGTCCTCTCCTGCCTCTCTTGAGCTGGTCTTTGCTCCCACTCCACTCTATTAGACATCTCAGCTTCCAGTTCTTTGAGTTCAAGAATTTTGTTGAGACTTTCATCAAGAAGATAAATGCTATCATTGATTAAGAAGTTCAAGAAATTCAAATAGACACCCTTCTCCTCCTCTTTAGCAATCTGGAGCAGGATATAGTAATTTCAGTTAGAGTCAATCTAATCCCAGCATAACTGAGGAAATTAAAAAAGAAACAGTTCATAAGGTTGGCCAACCTGTCTCCACGCATTGCGATGGCTTGGAACCTGCCATAGGTATTCAAGAAGTTCGGCAATGTTGTGACGGATATTGAACTTGTCATAGAACTGCACAAGGAAGATATAGCAGCATTATAGTAATCAAAAGATATGCACGAAACCCAGCACAATGGGTAAGGTAAACAACGTCTAATGGACTGAAACCACAACATCTAAAGCACTGGGATATAAATAATGTTTATTGAGCTGGAAATATTCATTTACTCATGAATGGAGAAGCGGTGTCATATGTAGAGAAGAACTTAGAAGTTAGAACCAAGTAAATCTACTATGCACGTGAAATAGTGGTATCAGAGAAATCTTGATTCTGTTTGGTTGTACACAGGAAGAGTTTGCAAAAGATGTAAAGATATGATATTTTTCAGTTTCTTTCAAGGGGCTGAATGACTGCAGCTTTGAGAACCAAAAATGGCAAATGAATCCTCACCTGAGTGTGGGAACCTGTGAATTCGATATCAACATAAAGCTTCAAGAGATTCCTCACAAGATACTCCAGGGAAAGTTGGTGCCCCTCAAACAATGTTGTAGTTGCAGATGAGCCACTGCAAATTGAATTCAATCAGACAGTGGCTACTAAAAGATCCAAATGGGTATATTAAAGAGATTAAAATAAGAAGAACAACTTTCTTCGTGAATGGAGTTTTATGAGATCACCTTCTACGAGGCATCCAACAGTTAAGGACTTCAACCATCTTCGCTCTTAAATATGGGTTTCTAATATACTGTGGACTTCCCATGAACATGATAATAAAGTTCATGAAATCATCCTGTCAAGTCATACAAATATTATTTGACACCAGGTAACCAGCTGACAAACTGCAGTCCATACAAACTAGATATAATTCAACATACCAATAATATACCATCCAAAGCTCTAGGTATTCTAGAAGCGAAAATAAGCAACTCCATGGCATCTTCCACAAAGTGCTCAGGCATGGACGCAAATTCCATAGGGCAAGTTGATGGTAGAGGCATCCGGAAACCACCAACAAGGTCAACCAACCAAACGATCATTAGCCTATAGAAGGACAATGCTCGTTGAAGAAGCCCTCCATCCTAAAAATGAAAAAACATAATGCTTTTAAACGTTGACACCAAGGAGGCAAGGAATAATAAAGTAGTAACCTTTCCAAAGAAAGCAAGTACTCTAGACAAAAGCAATACCCTAAGTATCTGAGCTTCATAGCATAGCTTCTCCTGATTATACAACTCAAGCACTTTCTCAAGGCGTGCTATATCGTTCTGAGATTGTGGAACTTGTCCCTGTTCTGACATGGTTCTAAAAGTAGACAAACTATCTTCACACCTTGAAATGTCCTGACAGAGAATTGAAGTGATTAAGAAAATTTTCTGTTTTCACTCTATAAGATAAAAATCAGTCTGTCTGCTATGATACTGTATGATCTAGAATTTCTTTAAAAAGACAAATAAAATGTCCCCTATTAAAAATTTATATGGTTGTTCACCTGAACAAGATGCTTAAAGTCAGAAAATGCTTTTAACAGGCCTAGATTAAGGACCCTTGCTGTCATGAAGAAGCATTCACAAATGAATGAGTATTTATCTTTTTCAGTGCAATTGGATTTTGGTTTGTTGTCATGTAGGATAGAAGATCCCCCAGTATTATTGCCAGAGCTTGTGGCTTCCTGAGATTCTAACAACCTGAGTTCTCCACCACTACTATCTTTACAGGCATCTGCTTTCCCAGGATTATTTCCACTTATCCATTCAGAGACTTCTTCAGATGATGCATTCATAGCAGTTAAATCCCTGTAGGCCACAACATGCATTAAGAAATGAATTACAGTTGATAAGAAGAAAAAGCTGGGTGAAAGGTAGCTCTGAATTGAAGTTCAGATAATAGAGAAGGAAGCTTTACCTCAATTCCAAACGTTTACTATAGAACACATAGCTGGAATCAATCTTATCCCTTTTTGACAAATTGTGATCTAAAAATGGTTCACAAAGCCGAAGCATAACAGCACTGAGATTGACAAACATGCCTGAACTAGCACAGGATAATGGATCAACCTGCAGTCAGATTAGCCAAAAAAAGGTCAAAGAAGGATTCAATTATAGCCACAGGTAAGGAAAAAGCAGAACCAAAAACAAAACTAATGGAGCTGTTCAAAGATGATTGTTCAGATGAAGCATGTTAAGCTACAGTATCTCAACACTATACTTCAACTTAACCTGCATATGAAAACTTTAAGGAGATCTTTTACAATGTAGTGCAAGCTAGAGTATTTTTCAAACATGATATAAACTTACCTGAATATGAGCCCTCGATGCATTTTTGTTGATCACCTGCGCAAGATATTCGAGAACATTTTCGCGGGTGTTTGTATTCTTAAGAAGACACTTGAGCACTTCCGTCAAGCCATCGTATAAGTTGTTCATGACAGTTTTGATTGTTGTGAAGGAAGACAATAGATCAGCTGGACGACGTGTTGAAGCATCTGAGAAGCACTGCTGGCTGGTGTTTTGCACAGGTAAAACAATCCATTAGCTCCATAACCTTCTTAAGCAAAAGTAAATGATGCATGCTGAGGAAGTCTTATTTTATTACTATTACATTACATAATTTAGATATTAAGAAATTACTAAATAGTTATTTAACTTATTACTCTTAGCAAACCCAGTGTTCTCTTCTTTTCCTGTTCCAACTTCCAACTATTATTCTTTTGGCAAGAAAACATAGGGGAAAAAGAAAGAAAGAATAATAGTTGGAACAGGAAAAGAAGAAAACACTCAGTTTGCTTGAGACCCAAAACTCCCTTAGACCCTTTTTGCGATGAATTAACATTTTTCTGCCCCCACCTTTGGTACTTAGCCAAATTGGACAGACTCTTTGGCAGGTTCATGTTTATTGAAAATAATATCCTCTGTGGATAGATATAGAGCAGCATAATTGTGACAATAATCATATGAGAAAAACAAAACTTACCCAACGTCAGGCTGACTTTTGAATAATGTATTATCAGGTATAGCACTGACATGAAAGAAAGGGCCCAAAATGCTGGTCATCTCAATAACCCTCCCATTCATGTACATATTCTTTGGTATCCACCAAGGATGATTCACCAGAGATTTTGCCCCTACTGGATACTTAACTAATAGCAACAAAGCTCTGAGTGGCTGCTGAAAATTCCCCAAAGCTGATACCTTTAGCACACTTCCTCTCAAATCCTCATACAACTGTTTCAAAATCGGGTCTAGACTATCAAAATCCCCATCTTTAAAGAAATCATCAAGAAGCCCTGGTGGACAAGTCACTCCACCACTACTACTACTGCCCCCAAACCCATCCACTGCAAGAGAAACCTCGGAGAATATCAAAGGCAGCAAAGGAGAAACATTGGACGTGTTGGTTTCCCAATTTGGAAACATATCAGGGTTCCCTAAATGTATTATACAGTAGGAAACCGCCAACTTCTTTGCTTGTTTCACCACCAATTCCATCTCAGATCTCACGCTCTTATCTTTCATATTAGCAATCTTCTTCCCCTCCTCGTGCGCTCGACGGTAGCAATTGACTAAATACTGGAATGGCGGCTCGGCGGCAGCGAAGTTCCCAGAAAGTCGATCTATCAGGACTCTCTCCATCAAATCCCTAGACAACCTCAAATCCTTCCCCTCGCTGAGCACCTCAGCCGCTGTCATTTCCAAATACACAAACCTAGAATCATTCTCCATCGAATCGATCAAAGACACGAGGAAGATTTTCCGGATGATTATATCCTCGATCTCCTCCGGCGTCCTCTGCTGTTTCTGAGTCGCCATGGGTCAACAATCACGGCAATCGAATTCAAATAATCAGGCAAACAATAAAAATCGAATTTTGAAGCAGACAATTAGGGTTTTGATCAGAACCCAATGCTAATAACTGAAACTGGAACTTTGGGCATGATCAAAGTAGATTGTATGCATATATATATATATAACTGCAGATTGTAGATATCTGATATATACTCCGTATAGGATACGAACGTGTAAATACAATATTGTAAACTACAAAACTTGGGAATATGGCGTGTATATAATAGTTGAGAGTGTTGAATAGGATACGAATTTTGGGAATGGTGGGCTGTGGAAGGTTTCCTAGGCAGAAGTTACTTTCACTTTTCGTTTTTTTTTTTTTTTTTTGGAAACAGGCAGAAGTTACTTTCACAGTTCGACCAGGATTAACATAGCGTTTGGATCAAGTTAGCTCGATAAGCCAGCTATTACATTGAAGTGGAATAAAAATGATCAAATAGATACTTAAATTTTACACAAAAATGCAATTAAGTCCTTAAATTAAAAATATATATATATAATTAAACACTTGAACTTATTAAAAATGCAATTAAGTTACCAATAATTATTGACGTTGATCGCCGCTAATTACTGCTCACCACCGCTAAAAAAAAAAACAAAAAAACAATTTCCACCGGAAAGACAATTTCTGATCATCTTCTCCAGGAAAAGACGATCGGAATGGCCGTCTTCTCCATTGGAGATGACGACCAGATGTCGCATTCTCCACCGGAGAAGACGATCGGCCTTCTCCGATTGAGAAGGCCTTGATTTTTTTTATTGTTATCGTCGTCGGAATTTTTTATTCGTCGGAATTTTAGATGACTGTTTATTCCATGTGAATAACCAGCTACTGGTTTAAATCTCAAAATGACAAGTTCGAGTGTTTAATTGCACTTTTTTTTTAGTTCAATTGCTTAATTGTACTTTTGAGTAAAATTCAAATGTCTATTTGACTCTTTTTCCTCTTAAATAAAATCACGGTGGAACAAGTCTACGAATCGGCCTGCATTAACCCCCTAATCTGACCAATCGTTATATCGTGCACCAGGACGCACAATGCATTGTGCGCTCCGCCATGCCCAAAACGATATCTTTTTGTTAAGTTGTGTGAGAGTTGACGCGACGGAGTTTATGTATATTATGTTATACAATTACGTACATTCTATTATACAATTATGTACATTCAAAACATAAATTTTTTTAAGAGTTAAGAGTTTGTGTTTATGTATTATCTTAGGTTATGTATATTATCCTTTAAAAAAGATTGTGCATTCTGTTAGACAATTATGTACATTCGAAATATGAAAATTCTTTTTTAATAAAAGTTGATGGGGATTATACCATGCACGTACGGTAACCCACGACCGGACAGCGTGGGATGGAGAGCGCCGAACGTGTCATCTGCCTGACCCTGATTCTGCTCTATTGGCCACCCCGGTCACCCGGTCGGATGGTCCCGAAGGCTCCAAGCGGCTGCTAACCCCCGGGTCTCGGAAAAGACCGAGTAGTCGGCCCGGGCACACCCATGGGACAGTCTGGCTAGGATGAGGGCTCTAGTGCCGTCAGAAATTGCTCGCCACGTGCGCGGCTGTGTGCCGGCCCCCGCGGCACCCGGTGCATGAGCGCCACATACCCGTCATGTCGGTGGGCCGGACCCTGTTCCCTAGGCCCTCTATATATACCTCATTTATTATCTGAGAGAGGATTTTTTCACCTACCTATACATTGTAATTAAAACTTAAGAGGTTTTCGGTCATATTCTACGATCGGTTAACCTGTCATTCTACTGTACTAAATTACGGTAATTTTATACACATAAAAAGTTAACAGCAAATGCAGGAAATATAATTTTTTTTTTTAAAAATGTACAAAACAACGTCATTTTGTGGAGTCCCAGGACGCACAATGTAGGATATAATTTGCCTAATCTGACCGATAATCAAGTTTTGCTGTCTGAGTTGGGCTGAAATTGAGCCCAAACTTGAGAGCAAATAGTAACATGGGCTGGCCCAAACAGATTTGTTCGCGGCAGATGGAGCATCCGTACAGAATAGAGAAGCAGAGGCTTCACATTCTGACAAGGCAGCAGAAGGGTGTGATCTTAGTCTCTATCTCGCAGCATATATTCATTCGCCTGCAAAAACAGGTAGGAGATCCCATCTCCTCATTCTGAATCTTCTCGTTTCATTCCGCTTCTTATTTCCCTGTCTCGCGCCGTCGCGTCAATCCTCTTTTCTCGACTCGATTCTGTAGATCGATTGCGAAATCATGGGTTTACGGTACTTACGTGCTCGCTCGCATAAACCTTAGCGTTATTTGCTTTATTATTTTTATTTTTTTGCTTTTGCGGCGATTAGTTATCAAATTTAGGCTGATTTTAGCTCCGCTGTTGCTCCATTTAAACAAAGACATCATTTTTCTTCATGTATACGGTTGATTAGTTGCAGCCTCGATGTACTTGTTAGTTATTACAGTTCCGGTTTTGAAATTAGAGTCGATTAGACTGATGATTGAATGGTATTCCGTGTACTGAATACCGTTATGAGTTCAGAGAACGAAAGGGTAGACATTGATAGCTTGTCTGTCTGTCATCTGTGCCATACGAAACTGCTGTAGTTGAATCTGTTAGTTTTTGCATTCAGTTCTCTAAAGTAGGATTCGGTAATTTGGTCTTTTTTTTTTTTTTTTTTTTTTGGTTTCTATTGGAATTACAGAGTATTTTACTGCTTGATGTAAAGATTTTTCAAAGGAAAATGCAGTTTACTTTAGGAGTAGAGTTAGATATTGGCTTTTCTTACCCAAATTAAAAGGTTAGATATTGGCTTTGTATGTTGACAGCTCTTAGCCATGTGGTGAGATCTTTTATGCCTATACAAACCATTCAAATAGATAGCTCATGTATTAATTCCCTGTTTGGTGTCTCATAGTTTCATATTCTTGAATAGTTGTCTTTAGCTGAGGTAGAGGTAACTATTATAAGACCAGTGGTCACTGGACTTGTTACTTTCATGCTTTCAAGCTCCAGACTATAATTTGCCATCCATAAATATCAGAATAGCCAAATTAAGAATTGGGGGGAAGGAGGGGGGCATGTTTCCAATCCATGGATTTTTGCCACCATTTTTTCAATCTTCAATGCTTGACAATTAGTTCTAACTATTATACTCGGTTTGGTTTCTCAGGATGTTATTGTGGCTGTCTTAGTTTGAAGTGTCTCTTCTAGAAACAACACCTCAACTGAGGATGTGGAACTTTGCATCCAACTGTATAGCTGGTAGTGCAAGGCTGAAGAAGGACCTTCGGAAGCCTACTCAGGATGCAGATTGCTCAGATGATGAAGCTTCTTCCATTACAAGTAGAGAGGAGGGACTGGAGTGCCCAATATGCTGGGAATCCTTCAACATCGTGGAAAATGTACCCTATGTTTTATGGTGTGGCCATACGCTTTGTAAAAATTGCATTTTGGGATTACAATGGGCCATTGTGAAGTGTCCTACTTTACCAATCCAGCTTCCTCTCTTCATAGCATGTCCCTGGTGCAATTTATTATCCTTGCGTCTGGTTTATAGGGGAAACCTAAAGTTTCCTAGAAAGAACTTCTTTCTTCTATGGATGCTTGAGAGCATGAATGGTGATAGGAGAGTGTCCCAGTCTGCCTCTTGTGCTGATCATCAACCATCCTGGCAGCCATGTAGAACATTAGCAGGAAATTCTGCTACTGAGCCTAGTTTCCGGAGGGGCCCATATGCTCGCCACCCAGAGTCATTAGGATCACATCATGATCATACTCATCTCAATGGTTTCCTTGCTTTTGAGAGACTACATTCTTCACTTAGAAAGTCACTTGTTTTCTTCATTCATCTGACATCCAAGTTCCCCCTGGTGGTTATATTCCTTCTGATCCTCTTATATGCTATACCCGCCAGTGCAGCAATATTGGCCTTGTACATTCTTATCACCATTGTGTTTGCTCTTCCATCACTTCTCATTCTCTACTTTGCATATCCGAGTTTGGATTGGCTGGTCAGAGAAATCATTACCTGAGATGATGGGGGATTTCAGGTTCTCACAAAGCAGCATTTCAGTTATAATCTGATTTACTTGCTGCTATTTATCCCCCGAGAAACACCTTGTTGGCCATGAAAGCCATATACTTTTCAAATGTGTTCATGCCACAGAACGACAGAACTTTTACGTTATGGGTTTATTGTGATGCTTGTGATAGTATGATACTACTCATATATGCCATCTTTGCCGGTTATTGAAGCTGATGCTCCTGGCTTTTGCTTGTAATTTTGTCTGGAAATGGCAATTGATGTTCATTTAATACTCATTAACTGTAATAACACTTATATATGCAGAATTGTCGAAACATTTCGAGTGAGTGTTAGTGATTATATTCAGTGTTCTTAGCTTTGGTCTATCAAGACAGTTCAAAACTGTTGATCATTTCTAATTTGAATTTGAGATGTAAATATCATTGGTCATTACTACTGCTACACCTCCATGATTAGAACTTTCCTCTATATTGAATAGCATTCTTGTTTTAGTGAACCTCACATTACATTTATTATCTTAAGTTTTAGACAGGTTAATGCAGACCAAGAAATGGGAACAGCTTTTACAGATCAGCTATTCAGGTCAGAACTTTGTATGGCAGCTCTATTTTGACCCGGAATGAATCATAAAGGTTTGCACCTCAAACCCGAGTGTTTCCCCTCCGCCTTAAATTGTGAGATGTGTTTCGGTGACTTCAAATTTCTTGAAGTGCTTATATACTGGTACTTATAACGAGATAAATTCATACCGTTTCTTTGGTAAGATCTGAATCTACACACTGTGATTGCCAGCAAAGTTGGCTATCAACCAATCCAAAAAAGAATCATAGGATTATGTTGTTGAGTTGGGATAATAATTTTGAATGGTTGATTCAGAGTTCTTTCCCCACCTGCAGAATTTTCTAGGAGCTATGATGGGTGAGTGGCCACCCTCCTTGGAGAGGAATAGTTGACCAAAAATGAACCATCTTTGGTCCCAGGACAGCAGCATTGTCAGTTACCTAATTCTAGCCTGTTTTACAAAAAATTTACCTAAAAATAAAAAACCAACAAAAATCGAATCTGAAACTTCAGGTTGCAGGTGTGTACGGAGTAAATTTTACACACGAGCTCGATTGAGATAGTGTTGGCAAGAATTGAACTCATAACATTTAAATATAAGAGTTATGATCCATTCACTCAAGTTTAAATTAATAAATTGACAAAAGTTGATGGCAATTACAATTACTCTTAACAACAAAAGTGTTAGTAATAGAAAAGTGTATTTTACCTGTAAAATAAAGTGATAGTTTCACGATTCCAACGCTTTTATAACATATTTAGTTCTTGGTTTGAAATTTTGGTTCATATTCTGAAGAATAACATGATAAAGACTGTCATTCAATTATGAAATTATTTTTATTATATAAAAGAATTAAAAAGTAAACTTGACTTTAATTACTATTAATATTGGACCGACTTTTATTTTTCTAAAGAAGGTAGGCTAATTGACTTGGAGGGACAACAATCAATGCTAAAATACAAAAGTCCAACCCAACCAGCCACCAAACCTTCATCACTTGTTATTTTCTTGGTTTGCATCACCAAATTATTAAAGCCATTTTCAACCCCACTTCCATCATATTAGAGATTATTGTTACATCTACTAGACTGACCAAATTGAAGTGTGCAAGTATATATGTTTAACTACTATACCCTTCCCAATTAAGAGGAGAAACAACTTACTTTCGTAGTCGAATTTTCGGAGATTTAAGACTGTTCCATTCTCAAAACCAATAATCGAACCATTGACCTTTGGTTAAAGATGGATAAGTCCTTTCCACTCAATCACACCCTCCAGGTTCGATTTGTCACACTGAGTTTTCATAATACAATTTATTTCTTTTTGCGTGTTTTTGCACACTAATCAACATAAATGGGATTTATCCTATACATACTTTTGAACAGTAATTGATGAGTTCCTATTGTCAAAAAAAAAAAAAAAAAACTTTCGTGGTTATTGTAGTCCTAGTCAGCTAACAATGATATTGGTAAGGTCACTAAGTCGCTATTTACCTTCTTAGTAGCTCTAGGGGTGATGTTTGTGGACTTAGGATTAGTCCAACGAAACTTGAATATAAGTTAAAACAAAAATACAAAAAAAAAATAATCAAACATGGTAACATAATCTCGAATTATTACACATGAACAAAGACTCTGAGTTTACTTAGTATACATTCTCGGATTTTCTCGTAATAAAAAATAAAAAGAGAAATACATGGTATGTGGTATAAAGAAACGCGTATGCATGTACCATAAAAAGTTCATTGTCACATTCTAACTCCTAGGCCTTTACATAAACAAGATTCCATCTTTCACATTAAAGACGCAATTCGTGTAATCGGTTACGTTATAGGAAAATTCGTGTATTACGACGATGTCGACAGCGCAACTGTTACGCGGGTGCGGACTCCACTGCTGATCCTTCTCCTTTTCTGCCTTCCTTTTATGCTCTCATCTCGCTTCCACACTCTCCTTTTTCACCCTCCAACTGCGTTGCTTTCACGATCACTTTGCGAATTGCGATATATACACACAAACCGCTCTCCAGTTTCTCCTTCCCACGACGTTGCTTGCACGATCGCTCAGTATATATTCACAGGTAGGACAGAATTGGAGATTTTCTTTTTCAACGCCATTCTTTTAATTGTTTGCCCTTACTTCGCCGCTAAGGAGGTCCAGGAGGGGGATGCTTTAAAACCGGGAGAGAATTCTGCTTTTGTTTATATGGGTTCCCTTCTTTTTCCCCTTGGGATCATGGGTTCCTTTAAAGTTTGAATCTTTGTTCATGGTTTATGGTTTATGGTAGTTTGTTAATTGAAAGCTTTGTTTCAGTTTCATTTCAGTTTGTGTTTGGTTCTTTAGTTGCCGATCAGTATCTGGGGAAGAGAAAGTTAGAGGTATTGGCTTGAATCTTATTCTTGGATTAGATTAGATTAGATTAGATGGGATTTTGATGTTAAAGGTTTATGAGATTAAATGTCTAGACTCTAGATCATTGATCATTGTTTATGGAATATGGTATTGTGTTCTGTGATAGATGGGAATTAGTTGTGAAATTTTGAATGTTTGATTTGTTGGTAGTAGAAAAGGCACTTTTTGTTACCATATGTTGAACTTCTGGATTCCATTATAGTAAGTTACTTTATAGCTTGATGATTATGATTATGTTTCCCTGTTTACTGTTTTCTCCATATTTAACTGTTTCCAATGTGTTATATTGTTATACAGTTTTGGGCACTGAGAACCATGTTTAAAGTTCTGGGCTTATACAAATATAGTTGTCTGAACATTTAAGCCTTTTCTTTGAAGTCTCAGTGTGATTGATGATGTCTTTTTGCCTTTGCCCTTTGGCAGTTTGTTGGCCTCTATGATTAGGTATTTTGTTTCTTCCTTGAGGATGGATATGGTTGGTTACTTTTATTTGTCTTCATGAAAAGTTCTTCAATTTATATATTGACATTTTGGGTTTTTTTTTGGGGGGGATAAAGAGTAAAGACTATATGGTTTACCCTAACATTCTAAGGATCGGGAAATATTATAGTAAATGGAGTTGAATGTTTGTCACATAATCTCTGTTGGTTGTCTTCCATTTATATCCCATTTAAGATTGTCTTTCCTCTTTGTAAAATCGAAGTTATTTCATCTTATTTGAAGCCATTTGTTGCTTCGGTTTTGGGTTTGTGTCTGCTTAATTGATGTTCTATGTTGTTTCCAGGGATTCTAGATTCTTGATTTTGTGCGAGTTTATTTCTGTTTGATGGCTGAAGACAATACCAATTCATCAATGAGCTCAGAAACCTCGGGGAAGAATGAGTCAGATGGACGAAGACCGATTAAAAGTAGCACGGAGAAAGCAAGGCGTTTGAGTAACGTGCACGGTGTTCTTCCTTCCGATAGCTTATCGTCCTGTGGCTCGGATGATGGAATCAGTTCAAGAAGATACTCGACCGGAAAACAAAATCCGGGTGATAATGGTCAAACCAATCTTCCGCATTATCTCCGAGCTTCCACGGGTTCTTGCCACGATTTGTGTAAATATGGGAGGAAACATTCTTCTGAATCGAAGCCAACGATTCCTCTGTCTCGGAGAATTAAAAGACCTCTTCATCGGAATCTGAATTCTGAAGGGGCTACGGTGGGAGAGGGGACGAAGGTGACTGTGCCCAAACAAAGACCTTCCGATCCTTCCCGTGATCCCGAACTCCACTTCCCATCGCCACCCGAAATCATCAAAGAAGTAGTCTTCTTGGAGCCTAAGGAAGTAAAACACGATTCCTCAAGTGACACGGTGATGCCAAAGACGGACACGAAAATAAAAAATATGTCGGTGAAGTGCTCCCCACCACGTCCTCAAGCTAAGGTATCGAAACAATCATCCGTTAATAAGTCTTTAGAAGGTGCAAAGCCAGCTGCCCGAAGAGTTAGCGATACAGGTTTGAGAGGAAATAGTGATATTTTGAGTCGTGACACGAAAACTGGCAGAAAGACCGTTGCGCCCAAAGCATCTCGACCGAGAGTCGTTGAACCCCCGCCTGCTCCACCTACCTTAAAGTCTTTTGTCAGTAAATCGAGGAAAAGAATGGATAACAGCTCAGCATCGGTGAAGAACAAAAATAAAATCGAGGAAGCTGACACCAAGACTAAAGAAGAAAATGTCTCCGAGAAAACCTTACATGTCATCGAGATGGAACCCAAGGACGATCTTGTAGAGCCTGATCAAGATGGTGGGATTATGGAAGAAAAGGATGATGATGATGATGTTGTTGAGCCCGCTCAAGACGGTGAAATTCTCGCTCCGCTTTCACCACCGTCTTCATTGTTGCCCGAATCTTCATCGACTTCAAACTCTCATGATTTGCAAATAGAACGTAATCCACGCAAGAGCTTGACTAAGGCAAAACGTGTTGTTTCTAAACTAGATGCTCCCTCGCCAGTAAAACTAAAATTTCGGAGGGGTAAGGTGGTGGATATCCGGCAAGAAAACAACGCTCCAAGGAGACTAAGCTTTAGGAAAAGAACGCTTCTCGGGAAAAATCAAGACAGCAAGAGTGAAGGTAAGGGCAAGCTCGTGGAGTCCATGCACGATGGTCAAAAGATCTCATCTCATCCACCATCCCGTGAAAAAGGCGGACAAGATAGTAAAGAAGGATCCGGGCGTCCAAACAGCAAAGGAGATGACAATAAACCGGCTTTAAACATTAAGGCAGTGAGAAGTGCAGGAAGAACTCAAAACAAGACCTCGAAAAAGTTCAATCCCATTGTTTCAAGAGTCGACAATCCTTTACCCGTGAAACTGAAGTTCAAGAGAGGAACCGTGGTGAATCCCCAACACGAAAGCACCACTCCGAGGAAACTCGGTTTCCGAAAGGTAAGACTTTTGCGGGAAAACCAAGGCACTAGTAGGAGCGACGTGAAGAAAAATTCCAAGAAGAGAGTCGAGAGCGGGGAAAATAGCACGAGCCTCAACCCCGGGAAGGTAGTCTTGAGGCACCAAGATGTGCAGCAGGGAAAGAAAGACGCCCAGGGGCTATTCAACAACGTTATCGAAGAGACCGCCAGCAAGCTCGTCGAAACCAAGAAAAGCAAGGTTAAAGCTTTGGTGGGCGCTTTCGAAACAGTCATCTCTCTCCAAGAGAAAAAAAAACCTTCCGCTCATGCAGTTTCTTGACAGCCGCCAATAAAACCGCGTTTCTTAACAGGTTCAAGTGAAAACTCTTCTAATTTTCCGTGTGCTACATTACTAACATCTCGAGATTTTTTCTTTGTGACAGAATTTTCAACAACTGAGACTGCTATTCTGCTATTATACTATTATATACTATTATTATCACAATAACTCGAAATTTCGTGTTCTCCATTATAATTTATTCTGTGCCCTTTTGTGTGGGTGTATCTATATCCTTACAAACTAGACAAAAGAAGAAGAAAAACTCTATACTACATAAGCAAAAATGTATTGGATGGCACACAGGGATTTTGAAGATTCTCTGAAGATTCATAGTGGTGACAAGAAACTCATGAATGTATGTGTGTAAATGAATATTTCATTTGTGGTAATAAGAGCTTGATTTGGTGTGTCTTTTTTGCTATGAACCATTCCATTCTTGTAAAGGTATTGTTGGCAAATTATAGTCCACACATTGCTGTGTGGATCATAACAAAAAAAATATATTTTTAATATACTAAAAGTACATTATTTGTATACTGAATGCATATTATATAAAATAATGTATTTTCTTTAGGTATAATGTACATTTTTAATATATTAAAAGTAGATTATTTGTGTAGTGAATGTATATTATAGTCTATATTATTGTGTGGACTATAATGGTTGGGTATTGTTCCTATTGGTTTTGCCCTTTTTTTAATACTGTCTTAATCAATCTTCCATCAACATTGGGGACATCAAAATCAAATTTTGGTTGGTTGGTTGATAATCTGAAATTTAATTTAACAATTAAAAAAAAATATATGTATTCATGCTGTACCTATCATTCCATGTCATCTAATTATACATCTCTATCATATTTTTCTTTTTAAACATTAAACTACATAACTCCATCTAGGTGCCACGAAGGGTAATTATTCATAAATTAATTGATATAAAATGAGAATCAAACAACTCACCTTTTTTTTTTTTTTTTTTTAAACGAGAGAAAACTGGTTAAAGTAGACAACAACACAACATTTAATATTTGAATTTTTTTTGTTTTTCTCAATCTACTGAACCATTTTCATTTGGGAAAATTAATTCGTGTTACCAGACAACAAGATTATTGACAGAAATCAATATTTATACGTATATATTTTCAATTTTTTTCTACATCAAACTCATGACATTATATATATTTATATATATATATATATATTTTAAAAAAAAAAAACATAAATTATAACAAGTAATTTGACAAAAAAAAAATTGAAATATTTACAAATTGATAATGTATATTTCCCAATGCCTAGTATTAGTTCATAGTTGTCTACTTGATTAGTTATTAAGTGACTCTTTATTTAAATCAACACCTTTTAGTGTTAGTATATATTTTTTTTAATAATAAAGCATCATATTGCTTGCCATTATAGATATCTAAAGTAAAATTTAATCCAAGTGTTTTTTTTATAGATAAATTTGCTTTAAAAATGTAATTAATGAATGAGTAAATGCCCAAAATGGTCTCTCGACTATAGCTAAATTCACAAATTAGTCATCGACTTTCAATTTCAACCAAATAAGTCCTTAACTTTTTAATTTTGACACGATTTGATCCTTCATCTATTTGACCGTTTGTTGACCGTGATCGACGATCTCCAGAAGAACCTTCAGCTCTCGTCGGAGCACGTGGAGGCCTCTAGGATGACGTTGCACTGGTTCGGAAACACGTTGTCTTCTTCGCTCTGGTACGAACTCAACTACATTGAATCCAAAAGGAGATGAAGAAAGGAGACTGGATTTGGTAGATTGCTTTCGGCAGTGGATTCAAATGTAACAGTGTGGTCTGAAAATGCAACCAGAACCTTAACAAATCGACGATTGACCATGAAATTACATATATATCTTCAAAAATCACAGTCAACAAACGGTCAAATAGACAGAGGACCAAATTGTGTTAAAATTACAAAGTTAAAGACTTAATTGATTGAAATTGAAAGTTGAGAACCATTTGTGAATTTAGCTATAGTCGAGGGACCATTTTGGGTATTTACTCTTACAGCCCGTTTGGTTCGCTGGAAAATATTTGATGGGAAATGGAATTCAAATTCCATGGAAAACAAATTACCAGGAAAATGGATTCCATTGTTTGGTTGGTGGAAAAGAAATTACTGGGAATATGAATTCTATTGTTTGGTTGGGTTTGGAATGGTAAGGAATTATGAATATAAAGACCAATATGCCCTTAACAATAATATATACATGTGTAATTAATAAACTTTGAAGAGGGTAAAATAGTCCAATATTGTAATACTTTCTTCCCAAATCCTTTGGAAAACAAAATACCAATGTCTTGCTAGGATTTTGTTTTCCTTCAACTTTAGGAATTCAACTTCCTATGGAAAAGATTTTCCATCCAACCAAACAACATAAAACAACATTTTCCTACACTTTTAGGGGGCGTTTGGTTCAGGTCATCTTAGATTACCTAGGTAATCTAAGTCTGGTAATGTTATATTACCTTGTTTGGTTCAAGTTATAAGATTACCTGGTAATGTTATATTACCTGAAAGCTGATGTGGCAGTAATGTTTCAAGGTAATGTGATTACCCCCATTTTTTTAGATAATCTTAGATTACCTTGAATTATTCCAACTTTGCCATTGTTAACTAATCCTTATATATAATAATAATAATAATAATAATAATAATAATAATAATAATAATAAATTAATATATGCTTATATAATCAAATATAGATGTGTATATTTATATATTTAGTTTTTTTTTTTAATATTTAAGCATTGATATACATTCATACATATAAATAAATACACACACATTATATATATATATATATATATATATATATATATATATATATATATATAATTGAGGACATTATTGTAAATTGATCCATATAACCTAAAATATAACCTTGAACCAAACAAGGTAATATTATATTACACCATCCAAACCAAACACACAAGGTAATCTTACATTCCCAACATCTCACATTACCTTCCTGAAGGTAATCCTATTACCTGGAGTAATCCAAGATTCCGTGAACCAAACGCCCCCTTAGGAAAACATTTTCCATGGAATTTGACTTCCATCCAACCAAACACCCCCTTAATTAATTATGAATGTACTTACCTTGATTCAAGCAGAGTGACCGCGCTGTGAGGCTATCCACTCCCATAAATATTTCTCTTTTCTTAGATTAGACCTGGAACGGCAAAAGAAGCCTGTCTCCAGTCATCACTTCCATCCTGCAAATCGCCAAGTGGGAAGGCCCATCAAATTTTTTTTCCCCTTTCCATGGGCGAATTTAAACCTTCTGAATTGATTGATTTCCTTTCGTAAATTTGCAGTGTTAAGGTAATCTCAACAATTGTTTTCTGTAATTTCTTCTCCCTCAGCTTGCTTTGCAATAAAGGTCTGATTTTTGCTCTTTTTCTTGGCTTTCCTCTTCATGCAGTGAAGCTTTTTGGTTGGGTTTTGTTGGCCCATGCTGTAGGTGAAGTCTTTGTGAGCTCAGGTGAGAATCCTGGTTTGGGGTTCTGGCTTGTTGCGATCTATGCATTGATTCTTGTTTTGCTTCAAGGAACTTGTTGTGTGTTCGTTATACTGAGTTTGGGTGTTGTGTTTGCTTTCATTTTAGGGCTTTAAGAAGATTTTTGCTGCGAATTAAGGTTGGTGCTGTCTGCTTACTCTTACATTGAAGTTGGATTCTGCTCAGGTATGGGCTGCATATCAGGTGTTTGATGGATTTCATGTTTGTTTAGGTGGTCCTGAATCATCTATTGAAACTAGTGGGAGAGAAATTTGGGGTTTTTGAAGATGTAGGAACAGACATTCTTGGGCTTTGGTTGAGTTTGATGAGTACTAAATTGAGTGTCTACTTTGGCCTTTTGCTGTCCTATGGATCTGAATGATAAATGAGTTTTTGAAGTATTCTTGCAGTGCAATGTTTTCATGGTGAACAAGTTATGATATTGAAAAATGATTGTTGCTCTGTTATGCTTACTCTAGGTTTATATCTCTTTTGGAACTGATACAAGAACTAGAAGTGGTTAATAATACACCTTCTGTCATAAATACTAATTTGCCTGATATATCTACTTTTCCAATGGTGTTAGTCACACCTCCTCGGACGAACTAGGGGTCATCGAGTATATTTCTTATTTTCTACCTTGTATGTTGAGATGGTCTACCTTTAGAATTTCTTTTTAGTTTATTTTCTGCCTTGTATGTTGAGATCGTCTACCTTTAGGCTTTGTAACAAATTTCTTGTTTCTGTGTAGATACAACTTATTAGTGCGTAACTAGGATCAGGGTGCATTGATTGGAAAGCTAACTATCATACAATTCAAGTTTCTTTGAAATAGTGAAGATGTTAGCTATTTTGATTTTTAACAGTTTATAGCCTAAAGGTTATTAGTTTTTGCTTCTTCAGCAATTGAAGGGTGAGAGCAATGAAAATCACCAAACAATACCGGTGCATACACTCGGCAAGTTGTGTATGCACAAAAGGGCATCTCAGTGAAGAAGTGATATTTCTAGTTTTTGAACATATAAACTGGAACCCGAAGATGATTGCAGCCCTATCTTGTGCGTGCAAATGGTTTGATGATCTTGCCAAGAGAGTGCTTTGGAAGGAATTCTGTAAGCAAAGAGCGCCCAAGATGATGCTTGACCTGCAGTCAAGCGGGAGTCACAGTGTTGACGGGAACTGGAGAGCACTCGGAAAACTTATGATTTACTGCTCGGGCTGTAACAAGGGTGGCTTGTTCAATAGCATTCACATTCCTGGACATTTTGTTTATAGGACACGGTTCTCAAGGACCTCTGGGAAGAGCTTTCTTTTACCACAATGCAGGACGGATGTTTTGTATGTCTCTGATCCTTGTGAGCATCTTGACCAAGGAGACGAGGGGGATGTTGGGTTTTTTCGTGGGATATTTAAATCTTTTGCAACGTCGAAGGTTAGGAAAATGCTGATTAAGAGGGAGGCTAAGCTACACCCAAGGGAGGTTTGCCCGTATTGTAAGGCTAAGCTGTGGAGCATGCTGCAGGCAAAGATGATCCCGTCGAGTGCCAGCTGCAGATTAGGTGCTTATGAAGATGCGATCGAGTACTATGTTTGCCTTAATGGGCACGTGCTAGGAGTTTGCACCCTCTTGCCATTGTCTGATACAGAGGAAGCATCTGGATCCGAGTGACTAAAGAAGAAATGCAGGTAATTAAATGTCAATATTAAGCAATGCTGTATTTCCTTACAACATGTGAAAAAAACACAATTAAATTGGTTTTATGCTGATTTTGTGTGTATATATCTGCATATTCAAAAGGGGCAGTCTGGTCTCTAGGCCAATCGAGGCTCGTCTCTCTGCTGACTTCAAATTATCTGACAAGATCAGTTTGTCGTTGTGTGCCTTGCTACATATTAACTTCGGATCTACCATTTCTTGGAAACGTGGTGGATATCACAGGACCCTCCCGACATACATCCTTGTACTTAACAGTCTCGCGGTTGAAACTTCCATGTGAGTTTGCTACTTTCATCTCCTGCCTGCCTGCCTACCTACCTGCCATTGGAGACCAATTACTGACCATTTTGTTTGGAGTGTTAGCATGCTAGATTGTTCTTGTGAACCATTTGTGTAATTGTGACTTTAAAAATGTAACCTATGGTGCAATCTTGTAATGTCTCTAATTAGTTTATTACTCTGCATTATAATCATTTGACTTAACTATGGGGTGTGAATGAAAGTCTCTTCCAGCATAACAGGTTATATAATCTATGAGGGAATGCTTTGCCAGTCTTTGAGGTCTTACTCTGTATAAATAAGATTGCTGACTTATTTTCTATGCTTAATATAGTAAAGATGAAATTTGATTAAATGAATGAAAATAATGAATGTGCATGTATTATACCAAAACACCAAGGATACACAATCTCTTTTACATTTGTTTCGAGGTACAATAAGTTCTTTTTCAGAAAGAACAAATCTATCATATGCAAACATATGTCCCAAAAAAGCTTCATTGCTAAAAACTAGGTAGAAAGAATTTTCTGCACATGAATTGATCCCCAAGGAGAAGAATTTCGTACAGAACAAATGCCCAAAAAAATAATCTAAGGGTTCCACAACCTACCGACTAATATCACCATAAATATATAGAATCAGGAGAATTGGTAAAAATGGGAGATAGCAACAAATCTAATGGAAAAAAGAAAAAAAGGAATATAAAGAATAATCTATATATCTAATGAGGCCAAATTGGGAGTGTTTTAGAAGGACCAGCATCCTAGCTTTCTCTCTCCCGTGCAGCAATTAGCATGTGTGGCAAGCGATGAATCTTCTGCCATCCTTTGTCGATTCTTTCTCAGGACCGAGGAAGCTACACCCGTGCTAAGAGGCCAAATTAGTGTATGTTTTCCAACCAAAAAATAGGCAATGTAACTGCTAGTTTACAGACTGAAAAGAATGAATTCTGTCCCCATGGTAGTGACAGCGGGTCCTCTGATCACCAAATGCAAGAGAGAACACTAAACCATTTGAATATGACAGACACCCATTTAGCCAAGTCTTGATTTACTTCCTTACTGGAGCTCACAAAATTGTAGTTGCCAAAAAAAGAACTTGTGCAAGATCCATGTTGTTGCAACTTTCTCATCTTCTCTTTCATGCACAAATCTGACTACTCCAAGATGTGGCAATTCCTAACAAAATCATTGGTGTAGTTCACATATTTTGTCCAAAATGGTCGGAGATGTTCAAACCCTATCTCCAACCATGGCTTAGACTGGCCATTGTAATGAATAACTGCAGCTTTCTTGACATTCTCTATATTGGTTTTTTTCTGGTAGCCCAATCCAAGCATGTGCCAAGAGGGATCAATTGGGTGGACATGACCCTTGAATGCAATAAGGGCAGGAGGCAGTGTTCCAAGCTTCCACAATGTCAAGTTTGACTTCAAATTCTGCAACAATAAGGAGTTACAAGAATATTAAGAACCTGCATGTGCTGGTTCCTGAAATTTTTGGAATATAGACCTATTGCATCATAGTTGCTGATAGGTCAATGATAGATAGTCAAGACCTCAAGCAAATCTTAAAACTTGTCAATACAAGTCCATTAACACTCACATATCAAATGAGACAAGCAAAAACTATTATTCCACAGCTAAGCTGACATACAAATAAAATACTGAATATGTTGGCTTTTTTTTAAATTTTCAATCATAACATGATAAAAATTGAATGAGTCAGCAGGAAAATGATTGGGATATAAAGAATAGAGGAAATGAAATTTAGGATAACCTTTCTATAGCTAAAGCCCTACACGTAGATAAACAGAACCATGGACTAAATAAAGAAAATTCATTTACCTCTTTGAGCCACGCATGATATGTGTCTCTTATATCCGTCTTTCTCCATGCACGCAAGTCAAATATATTCATCCCATAAGCCCAGGCACAATCATCAGGGTTCAAGTTTTTAGCTATGAATGGATGAGAAAAATTGAAGTATGTTCTGAATCGCTTAGACATTACCCAATCATCTTCACCTTTACAGGTCTCTACAGCCCCATTAACCTTTCCATTGAGGTCAATGTCCCAGAGTGGGGACAAGTCACGCTGGATTACAACATCATCATCTAAGAAAACCACTTTGTCCAGGTTTGGAAAAAGCTGCACAAGACAATGGCAAAGAAGTTTTACTTTTGCATTTGGCAGGACAGTTTAGAGAACAGGTTCATAGATAATAAGACAAATGGAAATTCTAAAAGAAAAAATTCCAAGGTGTTATTGACATTTAACCATAAAATTGGAACATCTTCTCCCTCATCCTTTCTTGTTCTTTATGAGAGGACTGTATTCCAAGCCCAAGAGTTATTGATAAAAATCTATTTGACATTTATACATATGGTGTGTGAGCAGGTTAATAGACTTTTCAAAGTTTATTGACCCTATAAAAGAATCAATGTCCTTTTATTTTCCATTTTGGATACCACTTTAAAACAACTATAAGCATTTATTCTCATAATACAGATGACTACCTCAGGAAGATATATACGAAGATGATTTAGCAAGGAGATATATTTAGGACTTCTAGCCTGCAATTTTGAGGCAAAGGAGCGAGGAGTAGTATCACTCAGATTGGCCCCTGCAATATGATTCCCATGGTAGTAATTACGAATTCCATTATGGGTCTCCACAGCTTCAAGCACAGGAACATTCTCCCTTGTCAACCAGTCGAACTGGTGAACACTTCTTACTTCAACAATAGCCGGAGAGACTGGATTCAGAGCAAACCATGAGTGCATACCAGCATATGTTTTCTTGTCTGTGATGACATGGAAAACAATCTTTTCAGGCTTAAGAGAGGACTGGACAGCAGAACTGACCACCACAGAGGCAGCTAGGATGTTATCAGTTGACAGTACAAAATGGTGTAATGAGTTGTCAGAAAGCGAAGGAAGTAACTCTGGTGATGGCAACTGCTTGCGCGCATGAGCATTGGAGGAATACTCATCAGTCAACCGTAAAGAGAGACAATGAATTCCCTTGGGTATTGAACTTGCAGCAAAGTGTTTATTTGTCAGTTCTGCAAATTTAGATTCCCTGATCTCCCTTTCAAATCTCTCCATCTGTAAATTAGCAAATTTAGTAAGAAACAAATTGACGTCAAACAAGATTAGTTAAGTAGTGATGATTACACTCTGCAAAGCTTAGATATTAAAAAATTAAATATAGAGTAAGGCTACAAGCATATACCATTCCCTTAACCATCAAAGCAAACTCTTTTGCATTGTGTTTATTATTTTTCATTTCAGAAACAAAATGATTATATGACTCGGGGAGCTTTAAGCCAGCAGGCAATTCCTCAGAGTTAACTTGATTAAGGATCTTAACAAAATCCTTCACAAGCCTCTGCTGCAAAAAAAAATTGAGACAAACTTAGGTAACAGATTTTGACTACCATTTAGTTATGACACAGTTCAGTATACAAATAGTGGCATTATAAATCATGAAAATTTTGAATAAGAAACTAACAATTACCCCTGAATCATCAGCCCTTCCAAGAAGCTTTGGTCCCAATCGCCTGCCTAAACAATCTGAAAGTCCATGATGAAATCAGAGTTTGTAATTAAAATCTTTCCCTTGACAATAAAAACCATAGGGAAACAGACACAAGTAATTAAAAATATTTTGGGTGTAAAAGCAAAGTAATGAGAATTGAGAAGATCACGATATAGAAGAACAAAGAAGTACTCGTAGTAAACAAGTGTTACAGAAATAGTCACTGCAAAAAAGAGGATACATTAACAGAAAAAAAAAGGGTGTATTAAAGAGCTTACAATTTGAGGCAGCATAATGCCACATAGATAACAAAATTGTAGGCTTGAGATGCTTGATTTAAAATACCAAGAAGATAACAATAAAAAATGACATCCTAGAGGCATACAATTCAAAACAAACAGGATATATTCTCTCAATAAGAAGCATATACATGTATTCTAGTGTGTTTATTGAATAATCCTCAACAATTCACCAACTCTGCACAAAAGGATGTATATTCAAGCCTAAGCCTGCCTTAAGACCATGTGCCATCTTACTAACTACTATCCACTTAAGTTTTGATCTACCACTATTAGTACCATTTTATCACTATGTCTAGCCAGTGAATTATCATGCATCAAAACTATTGTGAGAACGCATGCTGCATGCATGAGGCATGAGGCATCAATGAAGTCAGGATTTGTTGCTTGAAGCAGTGCATTCAATCCCTCACCGGGGCACTGACCACACTATCACCAGACACAGATGGGTGCACAAACAATGAATCTATCACATATCATGGCATCAAGTGATAGTGAAACCAAATATGTGAATAAACTATGAAATTCTGTCCACATAACATAATGAATTAATGAGTGTAGCATGAATGAACCTGAGGCAAATAAAATTTAATCAATCATAAGCTATAACAGGAGGATTAGCCTCCCAACTTCTCAAGCAAGACACAATAGTAGCACAGGTAGAAATTAAAATAGAAGAAGAAAATTGCAGGATGAAGGATGAATGGAGAAAAAAATCTGAAATAGTGCTAAAATACAAGGAAAACTGGAGAAAAATCAAGTACCAAACGAGGAGCACTTGTTGACACCTTCAAGTGTAACAACAGCCGTGAGGATGAAGACAAAAGGCAACAAGAAAGCAAGGATAAGGACTGTATGAAAGAGCGTTCGGTAAGAAATGTGGCGAGCTGCGACCTTGATCTTCATCAAATCACCCAACCCTCCATTGTTGTTGCTCGATATCGTTATACTTCTCATGCTAGGAGAGAAGTGCAGCTGCATCTTCCTCCCTCCTCCGCCGCCACGGTTGTTATTGCTGCTATCCCTACCCGAATCCAATTCCAATCCTTCACCACCACCACCACCCGCACAACCCTAGATGAATGCCCAATACGAATGCCGCGGGAACCACCGCCTCTAACGTCCTTGTTTTTCTGCTGTGCAACAACACCTAAGCAATCCAACCACAATGTTCTTTTCACCATAGATCCGCCCCGGCTACAATTAAACGATCCGGATTTCACCGACGCCCCGGTCTCTTCCGAGACCAACGCATTGGATTTCCAAATCCACAGTCTCTTTCCTTTTACCTCCACAAACTTACCAAATCAAACCAAACAAATATATTACGTAGAAATCCAATCTGTTTATGTATGTGTGAAAATAACGCCTAGAGCTTCGCCTTTTTACACACACAGAGATCCGAATGTGTGCCTAAAACGCATCCAAACTTACGAAATCTACCAATTGCAATCAACGAATCAGCCAAAATGAAAATCCAACAAACCGAGTCATCAATGCATAATAATGAAAACAATAAAAATGCTGACAATAATAATCGCAATAACAAAAGTTTAAGAAACCGGAAGAACAATTTCGATAGGATTTCTTCCTTTAGCAATGGCGGACCAATAACTCTCTCTCCATGGAAGGAAAGAATGAATGTAGAGAGAGAAAGTAGGAGAGCCGAGAGGGAGGGAGGAAGACTTGTGAGGGCAATTGATAATTTTTTTTTTCTGCGTATCCTGCTCTTTCCAGCTAGTTACGCCTCCCATCTCATTTTCTTCACAAAAAATAAACTTAAAAAAATCATATTTATTTATTTATTTATTTTATGAATTAATGGATTATGTCCATATTCGTTCCCACATAATATTTGCACCAATTATTTTTATTACATATTATTATGTATATATACCTTCTATTTTTTCTCTCACATTTGACGTTTGAATGGGTGAAACATGATTATCATATTAAAAGATTATGAGTTAATTATTTTATTTTTTTTTTTGTACCCATGATTTTCACCGTCAAAATAGTGATTAATCCCATTGCTGAATTGTAGACACATTTTTTGAGTGAGACATTGGCCTGGAGATTTAGAAAATCATGAGTTGATTCTTGTTAATACTTCTCTTGGCCGAGCTATGATCTTCTTACTTTTTTAGTGTGATTTACATCTTTTGTATAATTTGCAAGTTATTTTACAAAATGAGAAAAGTATCTATACATAATAAGTGATAAACAACTGGAACAGAAAATAGTGAACATGATCCAAGTTTGAGTAAATAATACTCCGTAATATTATAAATTAAAAGTTGCATGTTTTGAATAAAATAATACGGAGTAATTAGTTTAGGTAAGAAAAGGGGGAAAATAATGAAGGTGGTGTGCAGATATGTTTAGTCAAAACCGTGTGGGATGACGCCTAAAAAGTGTGTGATAACATGGGTGATTAGGTCGTACGTCGTAAGCGAAACAGCATAAATGACGTTGGAACTGTGAATGGTTTTGATTTGACCTCGAGAGTTGAGACCAGCAATGGCTGATGGGATGCGCGCCTGACGCTAAACAAAGAGTCGCCACCAAAACAAACAAGAGTTAGTCGTATGACGCGTGTTGGCCGGTCGGCACCGGCACGCAAATGATGAACCAAAATAACTTCATAACCAATAGTTAAAATTTTCGATCAGATTCAATTACCGGTTATGTAGTTGATCGGCTTTTTTCCTCATCCCTACTGGGTGTGAACTGTGAACAAGCAATGGCCTAGCATAATTAGAGCAAGACAGAAGTATTAGGCATAGAAGGAACACTGACTACAAGATATAAAATGACACAAGTGATGTGACTATGCAGAGTCCAAATTGGGGAAAATGACAGGGGCACACAATACTTCAAAGGTACAAAACTTGAAACAGTATGCAGCAACAGTGGCCTACTGGGCACCGACAGGCTACAAATAAGCTGGCATTTACGCATTTTCTTAGGCTATGACGTGTCTAAACTGTTGTGATTTCTGAAGAATAATAGCAGGTATGAATGGATGATGGTAAAGAATGGATAAGCATTCAATATTTTCAGTATGCTTTAAAGGGCATCTCATAGATTTTTACTCCCTGGTATTTATGTTCTTTCTTTGTAAAGTAAATTCAGGTAGGTCAACCACTAGACAAATAGGGTAAAATGATAGATGAACTCTTGGAGTATAATTCCTGCCAAATGTATAAATTATATTAGGTAAAGAAAAAAAAAAAAAGTGAATGAATAAAAACAGTGAATCACTTTTTTTTAGATGCATGACACCTCACTTTGGAGGTAGAAAGCGAGAGTAGTAGATGTAGTATTACTCTGTTATGACTGGATGATATCAAAGTATTAACTAACACCACTTTGAACAAGCTCTATTGCATTGATACCAAAAGAGAATTCATAATGCTACCAATCAAAATGGACTAATCATATTTTTGCAGGCAGCTGAATTAAGCATTTCAATGAAACTTAAGTACAAGAAATAGTTGATGGAAATGCAAAATGAGAAGTAGATTGCTGACAATTAACTGCAAATAAGAGCAAAGTATGTGAATGGTTAGTTGTGTAAATACAAAGACAAGAAATGCTAAAATCAGTGGTGACAATAGATTATGCTTAATTTAAGATGTTAAAGAAGATATTAGAAACTAACCTGACTCTTGAGTCTTCAGTGCAGATTAAAATACACATGGGAATATATACCAGCATCAAAAGCCTCTCTCGTTAGCACCACACTGAAAATCCATGCTTGCAAAGTGGCAAATTGTCGTCTCCTTCCAAACTGGAGCTGTTAGTATTGTGAGTTATAAACATGGCAACTGCTCTGTCAGATTTTTCTTTATCTATCTAATAAGAAGGCTCTTATCGAACATTGTAAACTATTATCTGATATTGCCTTCAAGCAAGAGCTGTGTTTTCACTGAACTGTTCAAGCTTGGACTTGCAGCTATTAGCAACAAAGTTATCGCGGGCTTTGCATATTTCCCACTTCAATGGCACTTTGAGCAGGCAACTTTTTTAGTCCTACTTCATTCAGCAAACGTCTCACATTCTCTGCATCTTCCCACCTTCCTAAAGCAGAATAAATGTTTCCCAACAATACATAATTTCCTGTGTTCTGTGGCTCTAGCTCAAAAAGCCATTTTGCAGCCACCTCTCCCAGTTCAACATTTTCATGTATAACACAGGCACCTAGTAATGCACCCCAAATGGCATGAGTTGGTTGAAAAGGCATACTTTTGATCAAGTCATAAGCTTCCTCAAGTCGACCTGCACGACCAAAAAGATCAACCATGCAAGTATAATGATGTGGTCCAAGATAAGCAGGGTGACATCTCCTCATGAAATTGAATAAACTCAGCCCATCATCAACTAAACCTGCATGGCTACAAGCGTGCAAAACAGAAGTAAAAGTGACTTCATTAGGTTCAGTTTGAGAATGAACCATCTGATTAAACAGAGAAATTGCAATCTCCCCATGTCCATGCGCTCCATATCCAGCTATTATCGCACCCCACAAAACAATATCTCTTTCCTTCTGAGGCACCTCATTGAAGATTTTGTGACCATAATCCAACTTCCCACATTTTGAGTATATATCAACTAAACCAGTGGCAACCTCTCTTCTTGTAATGAAACCAGATCTCATCAGATAGCTGTGTAAACTCATGACCTGCTGTAGATCAGCTTCAATGGCATATGCAGGAAGTATGCTCTTTACTGTTGCATCATTAGGTTTTACATCTTCTGAAAGCATTTGTTTAAAAAGCAGTATTGCTTCTCCTGAAAGCTCATTATGAAGACACCCAGAGAGAACTGCATTCCATGGGACAGTTCTCTTCTTTGAAGTCTTGGTGAACACCTGAAAGCTAAGTTTAGAACAGTTACATTTTGCATACATGTCAATAAGCGCAGTTTCTACATTAGCATCACTGTCAAGTTTCTGCCTGATAGCCCACCCATGTAGGCATTTACCAAGTTTACTATCACATAGACTTGCACAAGCTGCAAGAAATGAAGCCAAAGTTATTGCATTAGGCTTTACACCTTCAAACTGCATTGTTCGACATAACTGCAATGCAGAGGTTATGTCCCCGTCCAAAATGTACCCATTCACCATAGTAGTCCATGTCACCACATCTCTCCCTATCATCTTATCAAAAACCAACTGTGCCTCACCCATTCTACTGCATTTCACATACATATCCACAAGTGCATTTCTAGCAGGCAATAGGTCCCAAAAACCTTTCTCTTCAGCCAGTGAATGAACCTCTCTTCCCACTTTCACATCTTTCAAATATCCACAAACGGGCAATACAGAAAGCACAGTGGCACAATCAGCATCCACTCCCGCTTCTGTCATTTTCCTGAAAACCATCAATGCCTCCTTGGCACTGCCATTTCTGAAATACCCACCAATCATAATGTTCCAAGACACCGCAGTTCGCTCCTGCATTGCATCAAAGACCCTCCTAGCCCCCTCTTTATCTCCACAATTCATATACATCACCAGCAATGAATTCCCCATAAATGCATTCAGGACAACCCCACTTAACACTGCCAGACCATGAACAACAACCCCAAGGTCACGCAACAACAAATCACCACAGGCCCGAATCACAAACGGAAACGTATACCTATCCGGTACATGATGACCGGACCGGAGCATTTCAGCAAAGAGCTTGAGCGCATCGTGGGGAGCCCCAGTTTCAGCGTACATTCTTATCATGGTCTTGTAAGAGAGCAAGGTTCTGAAAGGCAATTCATCGAACAGTTTGCGGGCATTCCAAGTCCGACCACAGAGCGCGTAGGCAGCCGTCAGGAGGGAAAGGAAATGTGTGGAGTTATCTTCTAGGAGGCCAATCCTGATAGTGCGGGCATGCACTTGCTTGGTAGTACCTAAAGACTTGGTGATGGAGCAATGGTATAACAGTGATTCGCATTGTGCGGCGGCGCCGGCAGCTGCTGGTATGGAAAGAAGATGTTTCAAGGTTTTGGACAGCGGCTGGGATGGACCATTCATTAATCAAATCCGTCTACTGCGTGTGAATGAAGCACCAAAACGATTCAATAAATACCCACCGTACTAGAACTTGTTCATTCGTTGGTAAAAAATTTGCAGTGGGAGGTTGCGTTTTCAGTTTGTGATGAAACAATGTATGGTAGAACGCAGGAAAGTTGAAATTTTAGAGTTTATCAAGTGAGTGGAACAAGATTCTCATGTTATATAGTCACAATTTCAATTCTTGTTAACACTCTCGGGATCGAGCGTCTCCTTTATGAAAGGACCATTTGTCTTAACCTAACTCAGATACATAGAGCTCTAATACTCACATTTAATTCTTATTTTTGTCAAGTTTAGTACATAATTTTTTGTTAATGATATACACTTCAGTCCGACAGAGCATTTGGAATAATGTAAATCACGGTGACTCAATGGTTAAACAGGGCCAAATGCCGGTGCGTACAAAGGAACTGCCCACTTTGAACGTAATCCCACACTGCTGTCGTCGAAGTTCGAACCTTGGTCTTTTCTCTCAAATATTGCCTACTGAACCATTTAGTATGTTCTTTTTACTGATCATATAGAACGAAGAGATGAACACAACATGGTAGCTCAAGTGGCAAATGAGCTCTCTTTGTGGGAGAGAATTTCGGGATAACCCAGGTTCGAAGTTCTAAACAGACTCATATACATGTAGCTTGTCCCTTAAGGAAGAAAATCTAGGTGCCTAGTTGACTTAGATATCGCCCGAAGCTACTCGATTACGAACAAAATGATAAAATCAATCTCCACATGCTTGGTGCGCGCATGAAAGATATGTAGCTCCTAGCCTGGCAACAGTTCTGTCTCTAGATGAGCACCGTCGTATGCGTAAACCATGATCAACTGTTCCCTTAAACCATGATCAACTGTTCCCTTAACATACCTGAGGATGAGCACCGTCGTATGCGTAAACCATGATCAACTGTTCCCTTAACATACCTGAGTACCCGTTTGAGCTGCTCCCAGTGTGATATGGTGGGGGCATGGATATGCTGGCATAACTGATTAACTGCAAAGGATAGGTCAACTGTTCCCTTAACATACCTGAGTACCCGTTTGAGCTGCTCCCAGTGTGATATGGTGGGGGCATGGATATGCTGGCATAACTGATTAACTGCAAAGGATAGGTCAGGTCGTGTGACAGTGAGATATTGCAGTGCTCCAGCTAGACTCCTGTACTGTGTGGGATCATCATATAGATCTGAATTGAAGGGGACTCCTGTACCGTTGTTGAGATAAAATAATCCCATTGTCACTCTTTAACTGTTTCAATACCCAGAAAAAAATTTGGTTCACCAAGATCTCTGATTTTGAATGTAGCAGACAGTTTGGACAAGAGCTGAGACATAATACCTTGATCACTTCCCATTACAAGAATGTCATCCACGTACACCAATAGATAAACCAAAGCAGAGTCTTTAGAGTAATAGAACAGAGAGACATCTGTCTTGGATGCTTGAAAGCCAACCGATAATAAGAACGTATGTAGTCGATTAAACCAAGCTCAGGGAGCTTGTTTTAACCCATACAGAGATCTTTTTAACAAACAAACATGATTCGGGAAGTTAGCATCAATATAACCAGGGGGTTGCTTCATATAAACTGTTTCAGCCAGATTACCATTCAGAAAAGCATTATGAACATCTAGCTGTTTGATAGACCACCCAGATGATAAAACTAGAGATAGAAGGAGTCTTACAGTCGTAGGCTTTACCACTGGACTAAAAGTGTCGAAGAAGTCCTGACCTGGAACCTGATTAAAACCTTTCGCAACCAGCCTGACTTTATGCCTTTCAATAACACCATCAGCCTTTCTCTTCGTACGAAACACCCATTTACAGCCAATAATATTCATACCTGCAGTGGGTGGAACTAGAGACCATGTGTGGTTATGCAGGAGAGCATTGAATTCTTGGTCCATGGCTTCACGCCACTCAGGATATTTGACAGCTTGAGAGTAACATGTGGGTTCCGTGGGATGCACTTGAGCTGCTAGAGCAAAAAGAGGAGCATCTGCGTTGCTGCGAGTGGCCATAGAGTGAGTACGGACATTGGGCCTGATGGACCGCCCACGTGGACGGCCTCGCCGGCGAGCAACAGGCTCTACAGGATCACCCGACGAGGCAGCCTGTCCAGGATCCACGGCTGGTTCGAATGAAGCAGGTAGCGGCGGTTCTGGCAGCTCATCATTGGACACGGCAGGAATAGGTGTGCTGTGATTGAGAACAGATTCCGCCCAAGGTCCAGAAAACGGAGTAGATAGATCCTGCAAAGAAGTTTTAGTAGCAAAGGGGAAAACTTCTTCATCAAATCTGACATGCATGCATGTGTAAATCTTATTATTATGTAAGTCCATGCATCTGTACCCCCTAAAGGACTCAGGATAACCTAGGAAGACACATGGAGAAGACCTGTATGACATCTTATGACGATTATATGGTCGAAGATGAGGGTAGCATAAACACCCAAAGACACGAAGAAAAAGATAGGAAGGAGGGGATTTATGTAACAGGAGATGAGGACTGGAGTTATTTAATACAGAAGATGGCATTCTGTTAATTAAATAGACAGCAATCTCAAAGGCAAAATCCCAAAATTTTAAAGGAACAGAGGCATGAGCTAGAAGAGCCAGACCAATTTCAACAATGTGACGATGTTTTCGTTCAACACGACCATTCTGTTCATGTGTATAGGCACAGGATTGTCTATGTTGAATTCCTAATTGAACAAACAAAGAATGCAACTTTTTGTACTCAACACCTAAATCAGACTGAATGACCTTTATTTTGCAATTAAAGGACCGTTCAACAAGAATACGAAATTTATCAAAGATGACATAAAGATCAGACTTTAATTTCATAGGAAAGAACCATGTATAACGGGAATAGTCATCCACAAAGATCACAAAATAACGGAAGCTAGAAGTAGATAAAGTGGGCGCAGGACCCCAAATGTCTGTGTAAATAAGATCTAGGACTTGAGAACTAGAGGAAGCAACACGGGGGAGGGGAAAACGGGCAGATTTGCCTAATTGACACGCATTGCATAAAGAATTATGACAACGAATATTATCACGAGACCCACTAACCAAACAAGAACGAAGTATATGGCTAAGAACACGGTTATGAGGATGACCTAGACGATTGTGCCAAGTGGAAGTTGAGACACGAGCGGAAATAAACGCTGACGGAGACGAACTAGGTAATGAAAGTGTGTATAGTCCCCCCGAACTATTGCCCCGAAGAAGTATTTCCTTGGTATTGATATCTTTTATAACAAAAAAGGAGGGGTGAAACTCAAAAAAGACTTTATTATCGGATGCAAACTTCTGAACAGATAATAAAGAATTAGACAAACGCGGAACGTGAAGTATATCAGACAATGTAAATGATCTAGAAGGGGTATTAAAAGAGGCATGGCCAACATGACTAATAGATAAACCCATACCGTCACCGACACGTAAAGTGTCATTACCAGTGTACTTCTCCGATGTAGAAAGGGCAGCGATGTTCGGAGTTGCATGATTTGTGGCTCCAGTGTCCGGAACCCAAGTATGAGAATTTGACGAGGTTTTAGCAACTAAACCATTCTGAAATACCAAATTAGCCTGAGAACCCGGAGCCCCTGAATATCGCCGAAAACAGTTGACTCCCGTGTGACCGAAACTTTTGCAAATTTGACACGGATCATTATAACGCCAAAAACAATTGGCTCCCGTGTGACCAAAACGTTTACAAATTTGACACGGATCATCATAGCGCCAAAAACAATTGGCTCCCGTGTGACCAAAACGTTTACAAATTTGACACGGATCATCATAGCGCCAAAAACAATTGACTCCTGTGTGGCCGAAACCTTTACAGATTGACACGGATCATCGAAGCCACGTTGCTGACCTCCACGGTAATTAAGGTTGCCATCGCAGCATTGCATCTTCTTAATTTTATGAATCACAAAACCCTAGCTAACTGATACCAGATGAGAACTGATTGTATTATATTTTCTGAACTTAATTACAATGAGATCAGATGATGTGAATATATAGAATAGAGAGTCACAGTGTGACAATGATAAGAAGTAGAGAGTCACAGTGTGAGTGGATAAGAAGTTCTAAACAGACTCATATACATAGAGTCCTAATAGACACCCCCTATTATTTGGGTTACACAAATTGTTTGATTAAATATGACAAAAACTATACTTTTGCATCATCTTTTGCCTTCAAAACATTTGCATAATTTGAGCAGGAGTTTCACATACATTCTCAAAAATCCCACACACCAACAACAAACCACAAGAAAAAAAGAAACAAGGTTTCATCACAAATTTAATCTCTTCCTAGGACATCTACCTCTATCACAGACTAATTATTGGCAATGATAAACCCAGTCCTGTTTCATCCAGACATAACAAGATTACAACAAAGAAACGCCCGACCCAATGCTTAATTGGCAAAATCTTACCCAATGTGGTGCAGGGTGGAGTGCTTAATCTGCGAATCTTACAGTCTTATGCCTGTTGGAAAAACCCGCCCTTCCTTCCATCTTCACGGGCAAAGGTGCAGAGAAGACGAAAGTTCCATTATCATCACCCTGATCGAGCCTAATGCCAAACTTGCCTTCTTTTCTGGAACTGTAATTCGGTTCAGTTTCAGCATCACTGCTCCCCCGTGACCCTCCACCATCCTCCAACTGAGCTTCCTCATCAACCTCAACGTCTTTCAACGAGACACCAAGATCCTCGACTCGCCTGCAAAGATTTTCTATAAGCTCTTCATTGCCATCGACGCTATCACCTTCCCGGTCTGAAACTGGTTTGAGGTTCACTTGAGGATACCTAAAAATATTACTATCCTCAGCAAAGCTCACACCTTTGTTTACTTTGGAGTTAACCCCACCATTCCTTTTACCCAAACCACCCTTTCTCAGAACCCCAGACTTCTTAACTACTGAAACTCTAGGGCTTTCGAATTCCTCCTCCTCATCATCATCATCTTCTTCTTCTTCTTCTTCCTCCACAGATTTCCTCAGCTCAAGATACTTATTGATAATACTCTCCATTTTTTCCATTTCCTGAAGGACATGAACCCTAGATTTGTTCTTAGCACAACCATGCTTCACATTCTTGACTATTCTACTTGAAAGACTGTAACTTTCCACATCAATTAACTCAATTAACTTAACTAATTCTCGGGTAATCGAGTTTTTGCCATCTCTGATCATTGGATCACTGTCCTGCAACCAAACCCCCATATCACAATTTCAACATAGTCATGTCTAAATTTATACAAATAGATGGAGTAATTGGCAGTTTACCTGGATGGCACCGAGTTGAAGAAGCAAGTTCTTGGCTTTGTGAGAGAGGGCTAGGGGATCGATATTGGAAGCTGAGGATTTGAGAGTGTTGAGGGCGGACTTGATGGAAGCGAGCTCCTTGAGGTGGCGAAGGGTTCTTGATCTGCGAACGAGGAAGGCTCTGAAGTGGGTCTGGATGGTACGGGCGGCGGTGTCACGGAGGGAGTGAGAAGAAATGGAGCGGCGGCGGCGGAGAGAAGACTCCAGAGAGGCGATGCGGCGGAGGAGGGAGGAGAAGACGGGCTGGTGGTGGAGTTCTTGAACGTAAACTTTTCCGGTTTGATGGAGGGGATTAGGGTGGCGACATTGGGTGTTGTAGGGTGAATTTGGGCAGGGATCAAACAAGTGGGGCTGCTGCTGTGGGTTGTTGAAGCAAGGTGGTAGAGAATGTAGGTCTGGCGGCGGAGGGTGGTGGGGTACGGGGATGGAGCAGCAATAACACGCCGTGGGGGCCGCGGAGGCGGCGGAGGAGTGGCAGATGCAGTGGTGGTGGTGGTGAAGGTTAGAGGCCATTCCGGCAGGAATCTTTTGGTCGGAGCGAGACGTTAAGGGAGATGGTTTAGAGTTTTGATTTACCTCTTTCGCTTTGTTGCGGTGTGGACCCGCCCTATAAGATGCCTTTGTAGTGAACCCAATTTTTTTTTGGAAGTTATCTATTGATCTTTTTTATTAATATACTAAAATTGCAAAATGCGTTTCAAGTGCATCTATGTCTCTAAGAAAAATTGATAATTGCAACCCACAACTTGCAGAGTTTTCTTGAAGTTTTGACTTTCGGTGAGAATTGTCAACCTTACTGATTTGAATTGGTTAGGACAACCTAGATTGATTTATCTGATAGGTTATACATTTGGTCGGACTTTGATCGCTGACTTGTTCCCATTGTGTCCCAAGCGATACCGAACGATCCGAGCGTCATCTTTACTTCCCGACTGCTATTCTGCCCAAACTCTACCCGGCCGCACAGGACTTCAGCCCCGCCCAACCTTACGTGTCGTCACTAGGCATTGCCGGGGGTTTAATGCGCGTAAGGACACGTACATGCCACGTGGTCGGCATGCCGGTAGCCCAGGCCGTGTTCCCCGCCTAACTTTACGTGTCGTCACTAGGCATTGCCGGTGGTTTAATGCGCGTAAGGACACGTACATGCCACGTGGTCGGCATGCCGGTAGCCCGGGCCGTGTTCCCCGCCTCTTCGTTTATAAATACTCGCATTTATTACGGCAACGGGACACTTTCGACCAGTTCTAGAACAAGCACCTACTCAGAGGCTCTTGACCATTAACCAGTCGAACGCTGTGCTAGGGCGATCGATTTAGCTACTAGTCCACATGTATTAGTATCATTACCATTGGTCTTTTTGGTTTGGATTGGTCAGGACAACCTATACTAATTTACCTCTGATAGAAACTATTTATTAGATTTATTGATTTGAGTCACTTAAGCATCCTCATCATCTCTTGATTTGTCACTGTTTTTGAGATGCCAATTAGAAGAGAGATGAGAGAAAGAGAAGAAGGAAAAAAGGAAAAAAAAAAAAAAAAAAAAGATTTGACCGTCCAAAAAAAAGAAGATGACGCGCCAGTCGACGTGTGCACTGCACGTCCCCCGTTAGGCGTTGAATGCGATTCCAACGCGCACAAAGGTAATAGCCTTCGGACATTTCTCTCTCATTTGAGATCCACAAAAAATTAGTCATTGCAAGAGTAAAAACCACCTCAAAAATCATTGTTGAGGAAGCTCTAAGAGCAACTTAAACTAATTTATTTTTTTGGTGGTAACTTTAAAGAGTTTTTTTCAAGATTAGAGTGAAATTGCTTCTCACACATTTGTAAATTCATGGGGTTGGTCCTTATGGTAATTTCAGGCTGCCAGCCGCACGCACGTGATGGCTGACACTAACCCGTTACAGGGAAAACTAGTTCAATACAACAACCCAGAATGACCAAGCAAGAACATGACTAGAAAATGAGAACCAAAACTGTGCATTTGAATATGATATGAGATGAGAACTTTGGAGGTGAAAGTGTGAAACCAGAAAGAAATCAGATTTACAGTAATGGGAGTTCAAAGAAATGATGAACTGAAGCCTAGAATGTATGATGATGATGAAGAAAATAGAGTCTAGTTAGAGATGAGCAGACCAGCACTGCCAATGCACCATAGCCTTTCCTCCATTGCAGCATCCATGGCTGTTCCAGTGGCAGCATTTACAGGGAGATTCAGATCAAGAAACTCATGAATATCAGAAAGATTCTCCTTTTTCACCTTGGTTTCAATGGTGGCACTGTAATGAGCCCTCTTGTGCCCACCCAAAGCCTGCCCAGATTGGAAAACCTTGAAGCAGACTGGACATGCATGCTCCCTGCTTCTTGTTCCTGATTCTGGGATTGCCATTACACCTCCAATCACTGTTTCCACCTCCATTGTATCAGAAACCTTTGCAGTGATCTCAGAATCAGCTCCCCAGCAGTTAGTGGAAGTGGAAGTTTCCCCCATTTCCAGATAATGAAGATCAAAAGAAGGTTCATCCATTTCAGGCTTCTTGAATGGCTCAATTCTGATGCACCCATTGACACAAATTTCACTGCAAAATTCAGAAATATTTTTCCAAGAAATGCTGTCTTTATCATCATAATCATTGCTACTGTTTGGCATTTCTTCCTTGCAGAAAAATGGAGGGCTTTCACAGTTTGCAGAAACAAACTCATTCCAGGTTTTCACTCCCCGGGAAATCATCATCAAACACATGGCAGCATCTTGGACCTCTTCAAACTCAGAAACTGCAGAAAGTGGGGGATTTGAAGAGGTGAGTTTGTACCTTATTGTTGAGCGTTTCTTCCGGACAGGACACATGGTTTCCAAATCTGATAAGCTCTGGGCAGATTCTTCTCCATTGGAGGAGGGCCTTGATCTCTTGGAGTGGATCTTCATGTGGCCATATAGAGCCCTGATGGAATCAAACCCTTTCCCACATTTCTTGCAGAGATGATGTTCTTCTTCTTCTTCTTCTTCTTCTACCTCACTCCCTTTTCTTGAATGGCACTTCAGATGCCCTGCCAGAGCTTTCACAGAAGGGAACCTTTTCCCACACTCCTTGCAGAGATCCTTCTTCTTCTTCTTCAACCCACAATGCTTCGGATCAGACACCTTCCAAGATTTCAATGGCTTCTCTCTTAAACCATAGCTAGCTTGATCCCCACTCTCCCCAAAGCTCATCTTCTTCCCCTTTTCTTGATTCTTGGCACCCATGGCTTCCTCTGAAACACCCAAATCTTCTTCCCCTTCGGGTTTGAGTTTTTGCTTTTTGGCAGCTGCAATCAGGTCCAGATGGCAACGCATGTGACCTCCCAATGACTTCCCAGTAAAGCAAGCTTTGTTGCAGAACTTGCAGAAGAATTTCGGTTCTTGGACTTCTCCCATTTCATTACTCAACAAATCAAGACACACCCAGATCGAGAATTTCCAGAAATTCTGCCAAGAAAATGCTGAAAACACAGAAACGGATCGAGAATTCTGCAAATACTGGCAGTGATTAAGTAGCTAAAAGCCTGATTTGGATCTGGGTGCTGAACTACAGGGCGCTACGCAGTGGCTTTTACTGTCTCTGGGACTCTTCATTTTCCCAAATCCGAGTAACCTATCTCTGTGACTGTGAGGTGGAAGAAGTGGCTTTTGAAGGGACGGTTTGGCTGTGAGAGGGCAGATTGCAATGAACAACATAAGGTATGGAGATGAATCTTGATGGTAATTGGAGGATTCATTTGAGGCCACCTATAAATAGGAGCAGCAGAAAGCCTTGCATGGAAGCAAACATTTTGCACAGCCAATCTTGTGATATAAGGTTTCAAGTTCGACTCTATTAACATTTTTTATTTGAGCGGGTCATGATAATACAAATATAGGCCTACGTAGGGTACTGAATATGGGCACTTGGACTCTGGATTCTGCGATAATGGGTTGGTGATCTCTAATCAAGTGTCCTAGGTGTCAAGTCGATCCAAAAGTTCCTTTCACCGTAATAAATGCAGATATTTATAAGAGAGGTGAGGGGACATGGCCCAGTCCTCCAGCATGTAGGGCACGCGGCCCACATGCACCGGACGGCACCCGGGTCGAAGGGGCTTGCAACACGTGGTGTTAGCATTTTGACATACGCTTCGCTACCACCATGTCGACCGGTTCCAAGGTGGTCGAGACGGAGCCGGGGGTCGGTTCCGATCGGCGGTGATTGGTTCGGGACTGGCGTGATGACGCGGTACGAAACCGACCACCGCACCGACTGTAGCGTGCCAGGAGACGAAGGTATACTCCTATCAGATCAGTTATGTATAATCTAAATTGGTTCCTTATGGTCATTTGTCGTTGAGTCGGCTGACTATGTACAAACTAAACTGATTCATTGTGGTTATTTGCCAATTAGGGTGGGATTGTTAGTGAGAGCGGTCTATTAACTTTCTTAGTTTGAGTTGGTTAGCTATAGGCAACCTAAATTGGGTTACCTCTTTGTGGTCATTTGCTGACTAGGGTCACAAAACAGGATCATCATAAGCGGGTTTGAGCTGATCAGCTATAAACAAGTTAAATTGGTTTACTCTTGTGGTTATTTGTCGTACTAAAGTCACGATGCGGGGTTGTTGTCATTAAAGATGTTACTCTATAATAATTCACACGTTACCTTTAACTTATAAATGTTGTTTAAACATGATGGTTAGAGTAAAAAAGCAATCTTGATAAAAATGACCTCATCAAAGTACTAGCAAGAGGGTGTAGAAGTAATAGCCTCATATAAATTCAAAGTAACGAATCAGGTCCCTTACATAAGAGAAGTAAACAATAAAAAGGAATGGTATCATCAATACACACAAGTAAAAAACCTACTTGCTTTAACCCAAGTAGCAACAATGATGATCCACGGGATACGAAACTGGGAACGTATAAACACGCTAAAGGCTAAAGAATCCCGGGTGATGGAATCGTTACTGTGATGTTCGGTTCAACAATGTGTGGGTGATGTTCAAGCGACAGCCGGCATGTCCTTGAGCCAGGGATCGAGCGGCTTACCTATAGAGTAGACAATGAACCCGATCTCTCTCAGCTTCTCTGCATTGATCACGTTCCTACCATCGAAGACAAAAGCGGGTTTCTGCATGCTATCGTATATCTTTTTGTAGTCGAGAGTCTTGAACTCGTCCCACTCGGTGAGAATGCAGAGGGCATGAGCGTCCTTTGCCGCTGAGTATGCATCCCAAACGACGGAAACTTGTTTCACCGTGGTGGGGCTCATTGGTTGGAGATGGCGGGGGTGATCCCAGTCGAATTTTTTCATTGTGAGGTCCCTTTGGATTTGGTCCTCGTTAACTTGAGGGTCGTATATGCTTAAAAGGGCCTTGTCCCCCAATAGACCCTTGCAAACATCGATAGCCGGGGTCTCACGGGTATCACCGGTGTCCTTTTTGAAAGCGAACCCCAAAATGGCAACTTTCTTGCTCGAGACCGTGTTGAACATGGATGCAACAACACGGTTGACGAACCGGTTCTTTTGGTAATCGTTGATCTTGATTACTTGCTTCCAGTACTCAGCCACCTCGGGAAGGCCATTGCACTCGCAAATGTAAACCAGGTTAAGAATATCCTTCTGAAAGCAAGAACCACCGAAACCAACACTAGCGTTCAAGAACTTGGGACCGATTCTCGTGTCCTTACCAACGGCATATGACACCTCGGTAACATCTGCTCCAGTAGCCTCGCACAGAGCTGACATGGCATTCACCGAGGATATCCTTTGTGCTAGGAAGGCATTGGCAGCCAACTTTGAGAGCTCGGCAGACCACAAGTTGGTGGTGAGGATGCGATCTACGGGGACCCAGTGAGCATACACATCCTTGAGTGCCTTGACTGCCTTGTTGCCTTCTGGGGTCTCCCGACCTCCAATAAGGACTCTATCCGGTTGAAAGAGATCTTGGATTGCAGTTCCCTCGGCAAGAAACTCAGGGTTCGAGAGGATCTGAAAATTAATTCCCTTGCTGTTGTGGGTCAGAATTTTCTCAATAGCCTCAGCGGTTTTGACTGGAACAGTCGATTTCTCAACCACGATTTTGTCAGATTTCGAAACATCAGCAATCATGCGAGCAGCACTCTCCCAATACGTCAAATCTGCAGCTTTCCCAGCTCCGAGTCCCGTGGTCTTCGTAGGAGTGTTGACAGAAACAAAGACTATATCGGCCTCGCATACATGTTTCTCCACATCAGTGCTGAAGATGAGGTTTTTCCCTCGGCACTGCTTCACTACATCATCAAGACCCGGCTCATAGATCGGGAGCTGGTCACTGTTCCAGGCATTGATCCGAGGCACGGAGATATCAACCACAGCCACTTGAATGTTCGGGCACTTGAGTGCTATCACCGCCATCGTGGGCCCCCCAACATATCCCGCACCAATACAGCAAATCTTTACCATCTTTGCTCTGCAAATTCAAAATTTCATATATGTATCTGAGCTCCCATTTCTATATATGTTATAAACAAGTCATAACCTTTGTGGTTGGCCATGTACAGAAGTTAAAGAACAAGACAGCATGATTTTACACACATGTTTAACCCGATTTCCTTCATCAATGTTTATATCCCCACATCTATTACACAGAATGCCATTTGAATCATATAGTAATATTTCCATCAAAAACTCCTAGGATCTACGTTTATTTATTCACTAAAAGCTCCATCTGCAGATAAAGAAACAATATCCTATGTTTTGATATAGTCATACATAGACAAAACAGAAAAGAATGAGTTCTAACTACTAACAAAAAAAAAGCACATACACATTTGACATGCAACATCGATGACACGAAACAGAGGTTTCGAATGCCAACAAAAGCCCTGGCAGCCGTAGTGTGGGAGCTACCCCTCCACTATCCTGTCGGGTCGGGTGTGGGAGCTACCCTCCACTATATTGTTGGGACAGAGTGTGGGGCCTGGGGTGAGGGAATTTCACCCTCCACTATCCTGTCGGGCTGGGCGTGGGAGCTACACTCCCTATACTGTTGGGACAGGGTGTAGGGCTTGCCCACAAAAGGCGAAATTCCCTCGCCCCAGGCCCCACACCCGGGCCGTAGTGTGGGAGCTACCCCTCCACTATCCTGTCGGGCCGGGTGTGGGAGCTACCCTCCACTATACTGTTGGGCCAGAGTGTGGGGCCTGGGTTGAGGGAATTTCGCCCTCCACTATCCTATCGGGCTGGGTGTGGGAGCTACCCTCCACTATACTGTTGGGCCAGGGTGTAGGGCCTGGGGTGAGGGAATTTAGCCCTCCACTATCCGGTCGGGCTGGGTGTGGGAGCTACCTTCCACTATACTTTTGGGCCCGGGTGTGGGGCCTTCCACTATACTTTTGGGCCCGGGTGTGGGGCCTGGGGTAAGGGAATTTCGCCTTTTGTGAGCAAGAGCTTTCAAATGCCATATGCTTAAAATGCTTTGCTGACAGCCATGGAAGCACTTTTTTTTTTACAACATAAGTTCTAATTCTGTTCAGAAATGCAAAGAATTGGAACTGGGCAATCATGATCCTATTGAAAACTGCCCAAAAGTTAACATGGAAAACAGATCAAACTCCATTAAGATCTAGAAACTCTAGATCAAACCAAATTGCATTCTTACACACCCATATCGATCTGTAGCTATGCAAACAAATGCAGATCTGAAAAAAATTCAACAAATCTACGCCAGCCGACACTAGATCAAGGAACCCGAACCCATGATCAAATGCATAAACTATTAAAATCGCATGCACAAGCAGGAAAACACAGAAAAAACGCTCACTTTGATCACCCAAAGCTAGAGAATTGGCATTCAACAATTCAAATCAATAAGAATTCACTCTCCCACTGCCAAAACCAAAGCATAAACAGAAAAAAAAAAGACTAGGAAATGGCGCAAAGAGAAGAATGTAAAGAGAGAAAGTACCAAATGAATCGCTCTCGTCAAAGGCGCCGCGAAGAACAGAAGAAATGTTCTGCAACACCGGGTAGTGTATGTATGAAAGCTAAGAGAGCGGGTAGCTCCTTATATAGTCGTTGCAGATCTAAGATCTGTGTTGTCCTCGCTTGCAAAAGACTAAAAGACGAGTCTTTCACAGAATAAAGGGAAATTAAATAAATAAATTTACATATTCCGATTTTGATTCGAGCATTTTTCATGTCGGGTAAAAGTACAAATCCTATGTATGACGGTGAAAGTTGAACGACTCGCCTACCGTCGCACGCGTTTAGCGCGATCCCCGGCTCACGCCATTGCACCTACGCCTAATCCACTCTTAAATTCTTGATGTAAATATTTCTCTTGTGACCGATAGAATAACAATAATCTATTATTGTCTATCAGAAGAGTAAAAGTGAGGGAAATAAAATTTAAGAATACATGTCGTAAAACTATAATTATACTATGTTACCCCAAAACTTCTAAAGGATAACATTTTCTCGTTTTAAAAATATTTTATATTCAAAATACATTTAAAAATATTTTTGTAAGCTATTTTGTAAAGATCTACCGAATTTTTCTTATGCCGGGTATGTCAAAAGGAAATGTTGTGCTTTTAAACGACATTTTGAATCGGTGTCTATTCAATTTGTCCGTATATCAACGAACAAGCTAGCTCATGCGTTAGTAAGAGCAAGTTGCGATCCCTCTATTTGATATTCTACTATCTCTTCTTGTATTGCACATTTAATGGTTGAAGTTTAATGCAATTCTCCTTTAAAAAAAAAAAATACGTTTTTGTAGTGTTTTTAATAAATTGAATTTTTTTATTTTTTTTTTGTCTTTTTCTAATTACGACAAGTTTGAAAATGCATTCATGAAATCGAATACATGTTTATGGTTTTTTTTTTTTTTTTTTTTTTGGATCGAGATGGAGAGGGGGACACCTTAGGACCTCAAGAGATGTTCCTCATCAAGGCATGTATAGCCCACCAGCAACCCATTTTGTCATCCTTTAATGATCGGCCAACCTCCCTCGGAGACTTTGGCAAGAGCATCTGCCACTTAATTTGTTTTGCTTGCACAGCACGTGATTAATGTTCACCCCCCAATTCCTCCTTATCCAGCTTTGACAAGCCTCCATCACATCCCAAGTTGATACTTTGATCTCGTAGCTACGCTGTTCTACATTTATCCACTCCACAACTTCCAGAGAATCATATTGAATTACAAGCCGTCTTATTCCTTTCTTGCATGTCCAAAATTAATCACCCAAGTTTCAACAACACTGGAATGCGTAGGTTTATGCACGATCCTATGAAACCTCTTTGCCAATCTCCAATGTGGTCCCTCAACACACCTCCCCAGCCTATATTTCCACTAGCCTTGTTGCCATCAACATTTAGGCAAACTGTGTTTTGATCCGGTCTCTGCCACCTAACATTACTCACTACCTCGTCACTTGAGTCAAATTTTAAAATCTGAAAGACTTCTTTAAGCCCTAATATACAATATATTTTAGATAAGAGTTTGAATGTTCGATAATTGTTCTTTTATGTCTTAGCAACACGTCAATAACAATAATGACGCGACCTCCAACCAAAATTCACGACAATCTGACTAACTTTGGCCAACAATAAAAATTAGTTCGACGTTAATATAGATAATCATGTAATGTCAAATTATGAAGGTATTTAAAGAAATTTAGCATATTAACTTTTAAAAAAAAAAAAACACTAAAAATTGGAATATTGATGTTGCATGCTTAAAACCATGACAAAAGATAGAATATCTCCATACTATGTAGGTATCTCATAGCACCTAAGGTGGTTTTTATTTTTATTTTTTGACAACGAAAAAAATTCGTAATCATTATTTAAGGATATACATTAAGTAAACTTTGCTTATGTACAATAACATGCGTTGTAAATTCAAATTAAATTCATGACCTTCAAGTACGAAAATTATCATTCACCTCACATGTTCATCCCATTCAGAGCTACATTGTATTTTCTAGCTGTTGTAATTACTATTAATAAGGGCTACATTGTATTTTACAGCTGTTGTAATTAATATTAATTTATTGTAATTGTTATTTAAATTGCTACATGTGTACTACAAGTCCATTTGCCAATAGAATCCAATGATTAAAGTCAACTATTATGATGAATGGGCACAATTCTTTTGTTTGGCATTTTCTAAAACATTTTTGTATATTTTTATGATTTCTTACATATTTATATTACAAATGACATAAAAAAATATATATAACACCATGAGAAAAATGTTAGAATGTGACATTATATTATATTATTATTAGAAATTATATTAATATATACTAAAATGAGGGCTCTTGTTCTTTATAGTTAGTTTGCAGTATGTTTTGCTGTTGTATGTTAATTTATATTTGTATATGCATTGACCCTGGATATATATTATCTGTCACATCATATGACAGTTTACTATATTATGATATAGGTAATAGGTAATATTATGTATTTACAAGTTTTATTATTATTTATTGGCGACGAGAGAAATTACGAAGACCTTGTGCAACAGACTCAATTGATCGAAAATGTGTTGGTAAGAATCGAACTCTTGATATTCCGGTACGAAAATCATATTCCACCCATTAGTCACGTAAGTTTTTTCGATCCACGAGAAAACCAAACCCCATATGTCACTGAAAGCAAGTCTTAAGTGAGGTTTCTTATCTACTAGACGAATGTCATGTGGGCGCTTTATTACTGTTATATATTTTTGGAATGACGAAGGAAATTCACCGCCACTATTCGAGGGTGTATATTGAGTATTTTTTTTTTTTTTTTTTACATCTATTGGAGGGGGCAACTTAGGGATTACGTTGGGGATCGCGGAATCAAAGCCCCTATGGGAGCTGAGCTTCTTAAACTAGGAAAATCATGTTATTCATATGTAATAACTCACAAACTACATATAAGATATAAATCGCATTAGAAAAATCATATGTGATATCGAAACGGTTTTCACAATATGTAACTTTTGTTATACAAGAACAAGAATTGTATTTCACAATAAATTATTTTGGGTGCAAATGTGCAATATAATGTGGAATGTTAGTGCGTATGAAGTGGGAGGGATGATTCCTACGCGTTTTGAGTTTTGTCATCATGCATGCACCACTGTCAACGCCGACGCGCACCGTTTCGATATTCTGTGTGCCTTTCCCATTCTCCTACAGCCTAACAAAACAGCCGGCTGCCAATAATAATAAGGCATGTCTGCAATATCCCTACTATACATACTTGTATGTTTTACCTCAAATTATATTATATGTAATTTCATTTTTTTTTTGTCATTAAGGTAAATTGAACGTTCAAAATAAAAATTAGGTTCTTTAGTAAATTCAATACCTTACTTTCTATTCTTAATGTGAGTCGTGCAATCAGTCTACTAGTAGATCATAGCCTTTATATGAAATTCGAACCCCCACACTGTGGCTCTCAGATCTTTAAGTCAGGCGACGAATCAACTATGCTAAGCCTCACGTGTCCGACAGAGCATTTGAAAAAATGTAAATATAAATCACGGTAACTTAATGGTTTAACACACATGGCTAAATAACAGTGCGCACAAAAGGATCTACTCACTTTTGACAAAATCCCTACATTACTATTATCTAGGTTCAAACATTAGTTTCTTATCATGTCTACTGAACCAGTGAGGTAAGTCCGACATTAATTGACATCAAAGTGAGATTAGTTAAAAGAGGAGCTGTGTTCCTGCGGCAATCATTGCATGACAGTTGAAATGAGTGCATATTAAATAATTAATATGAATGCTTGGAGTTGAAGAATAATGGCATCAACCTGCTTGTTGGTACAAAAAAATTTAAAAAGGATTCGTGATTGTGTGAGTTCTAAGCCATCAAATGTCAAACTTCATGCTTATATCCTACTTTGAAGCACATTACTTTTTGTAAATAGTTAACCTATCAGCTAATTTTGACTTATTTGATTATTATTAATTATTTGACTTAGTTAAAAAATTAATATAAATATTTAATTAATTAACTTTTATTACTTTAAAATGCTAAAATTCAAAAAGCTACTCAAAGTAACTTTTTCAATTAACTTTTTGAAAAGAAAAAAAAAACTATACAAAATAGCTATCAGTTAACAGTTAATTTACCAAACACATTTCTACAATCAACTAATGCTAACTAGTTATACCCTCTAATTAATCCAATCAGCTAACAATTATCAACTATCAGCTAAGGTTGTCATTATCCCTGCAAACATCTCCCACTCTCAAAAATGGGTCCCACTTCCACATCATCTCATTTGCAAATAATCTACTATTCACACTACATCCATACAAATCTAATCAACTTTCAAAAGTGGACCCAACATATTAAAATAATATTATTAATTATAATAAAATATTAAAAAGTAAAGAAAACAAAATAAAAAATAAATAAAAAGTACAAAGCGGCAGCTTTTTCAGGGGTTTGCCAATTTGCTAAACTTGCAAATTTGCAAACCCCTTTCAATTAAAAAAAAAAAAAAGGAAAATAATGATGTGGCTAAGCCACATCATCTTGCCAATCTAAAATTGGCTGGAATAATCCCAGCCTAACAGTCATTTACCAAACAGGATCTGTGCATTATTATAAATTGAACTTCTACTTTGCGTTACATTATATACGTCATATTCTAACTTGTTATGGCATTATGTCACATTCTAGCATGTTTGAATGCTATTATTGGGTAAATTTTAAAAGAATATCCATTGGTCTTAGTCTTAGTTTCGGTTCAAAGCAACGGCCTAGGTTAGGTCTTTTGGCCATGGCCAATATTAATCAAAAGTCAAGAATCGATTTTTAACTTAAATTTTTAAGTCAACTGTTCGACACTGGAAATTCTGGATACACCCTAAATTTTTGAATGACTTGAAGTGCAAGAATGGTTTGGCCACGATTAAGGAAGTTACGTCTTGGAAGCTTTGTACTTAGGAATGCAATGGAGTAAGCTATGGAAAGTCTAAATTACTTAATTCTATACACAAATCTTTAGGAAATTAGTTTCACCCTACATGTATGACTTGTAAATATATAAACCCATGTAAAAGGAAGGAAAAGTACTAGCAATTCAATATTCTTACAACAATATACACTTTTTGCTTGACCTATTGACTATGAAATCAAAACGTATATCACTCTTAATTTATTAAAGGATCGCGATATTCCTGCAAGTTTAGTTATAAAATTTTCTTATTATCTTTTTAAAATGTATTCATTTGTGTTAAATATGAAGTAGAAATTTATACGTAATATCCCTTTAATTTTTATGAGTAAAAATTTAAAACTTATATGTCAACAAAAATTTGTTACTAATTTTAGAAAATTAAAACGTAAACATTTTAAAATGCCACAACACATGTCACTAAAATGCACTTGGAAGACCATGTCACAAGGTCCATAACTAACAATAGGGTCCAAGCTAGCAAGGGATCGATCATTATTATGTGGACCATGGTCCATACAAATTGTAGACCATATTTTGTATACTGTAAAATAATATACGTTCAGTACAAAAATAATGTATATTATATTCGGCAGATGTATATTATTTTTGTACTGAGTGTACATTATATTGTATAATATATATTCAGTACAAAAATAATATACATTTAGTATATTTAAAATATGCTTTTTGTTATGGTCCACATAACACTGTGTGAACCATGATCCACTAAATAATTTGAAAGCAAGGGATGATATATGAGAAAAGTCTAAAGTGTCGACCAATACATGTTCCTCTTATATCAAGTACGAATTAAACCAAAGGTTTTAACTTGCTCGTACCGTAAAGGCAAGGCAAGGAGAATCTCAAACTCAAAACCTGATATCGGTGTTAAATGATACTTTAGAATTTTCTTATAATAACAATAACAACAATGATGAAAATTGGTAAATAACTGTTAGCTGATTGGGTTAACTAGTTGATAACATTAGCTTATGGTAGGAAAGTGTTTGATAAATTGGTTGAATTTTAACATTTGGAGCAGTAAGGTGTTACAAAAAATTAATTAATCAAACACTCATATTGATTGTCTAACCAAGTCAAACAGTTAATAGTGGTCAAATAAATTAAAATTGGCTGATAAGTTAATTATGTTATAATTTAAAAAAAAAAAAAAAATTGGGTCCCACATTCCCATTTGGCAAGGTGAGACGGTGTCAAAATTGCACAGCCACGGCGGATTGCCAGATGGCCTAATAAGCCGAGGAACCTCCAATAATACAGATCCAACGGTCCAATTACAGAACTATATAAACTAAAATTCGAAGTATAGCCGTTGTACACTTTTCGACCGTTTTCTGTCTTCTTCCCTCATTTTCCCTTCACTCTCTGTACAGCGCTCGTTTCACAATTCTCGGCGACAGATCGCATCACTTCTCTGCTCATTTCAATGGAGGCTAACGGCGAGTCCGGTGGTGTCGTTAACCATGACGCCAGAGCTGAAAATTTTGACCCCAATGTTGCAAATCCAGGTCTGAAGGTATCAGGTTCGCCGTCGATCAGGAAATCGGCGATCAAAACCAAAAGGATGGCTTCGAAAAGCCCTAGAGTTAACCCCGCTCCGGTGGCTTCACCTTCTGCGCAGAAATCGGGTTCGAAATTCCACGCCCTGGTGGCTTCGCCTCCAGCACAAAAATCGGCTTCGAAAAGCTTTAGCCTTAACCTAACTCCGACGGCTTCGCCCTCCCCGCATAAGATGATCCGGCAGAGGAAGTTCGTGGTGGCGAAGCGGAGTTTGAAGAGAGAGATAGCGGCAGTGCCGGTGGCTTGCTGCAAGTGTAACAAGGGTAGTGGTGAGGACAAGTGTTTCTGTGTTGCTTTCGAGAGTCTTAGGAGTTCTCAGGATGAATTTTTGAAGAATCGTCAAGCAATTGTTGATGGAACTGAGATTGAGAGTAAAGAAGAGGAAGAACAGAACAAAAAACTTGTGATTCAAGATGCAAATAGTGATTTGGGAAAGGTTGGATCAGATAATTGTTTTCCGGAAAAACAAGGATCAGATGAAGGGGTGTTGAAAGAGGCAAGAGCGACGAAGGTGGCTGAACCTAATTCTGGGCGAGTTCTACATTTGGTTAAGGCTTTTGAGAAGCTTCTTTCACCTGCAAAAGAGGAAAAAGATGAGAGGACAGTAGTAGTAGTAGGAGATGGTGAGGATGGAATGAAAAGTGCATCACCTGCAAAAGCTCCATTCTCTCCACCAGAGTTTCTCCTCACCTGTGAGAGCTTAGGCTTGGATTCGCGCTGTTCGTCTTCACCTAACAGCAGCCAAGGAAGGTTAGTGATATCTACTTGATTAATTTTGTGCATATAAAGAGCTCTTAATTCTAGTTCTAATGCAATTCGTTTCTTGGATTTTCCATACCATTACTATTCCAAGGAGGGCATCTTCTGCCAGTGATAGAAGGAGCAGACGAAAAGTAAGAGAGTTGTTTTCATCTTTCATTTGAAATGTGCAAGTTTCGGTTCATATATCTCTGGGATGATCTCATATGTTTTATAAATTCTGCAGAGTGTTGAATCAGATGGGGGGACTTTGGCTAGAAGGAAGAGAAGGCAACTGAGAACAACCTCCTCTCGTGAACCTTTCAAGCTCAGAACTGAGGTTTGTGTGTTGGTACTTATGTTGTGGTGATTGTGATTTGCTCTGTGTGCTTATCTGGGGAAATCAAGATCACATAATATGCTCAATCATTTTCATCTCTAACCTTCACTCATCATTTAAAGTCACCTAAATTTGCAGCAAAGGGGAAAGTGTAAGGAGGAAAAACTGTCCATGAAAGTGAAGGAAATGATGGAGGAAGAGGAAAAGCGGCGGATTCCAATTGCACAAGGCCTTCCATGGACGACAGATGAGCCAGAGGTATACACCGACCTATATACTCTTGCACGGGAAAAATGATTGTGTGAAATTGTTTCTATATGCTTTAATACTGGTTTGCAAAGTTAGAGAGAATGGAATTTCATTGATTTCAAACCATGATTTCAGTACAACTAGACAACTTTATTAGACAAGAAGATACAGTGAATTGTTCCACTCACATGTTTGTATTTCTGGTCACCACATAGTGGTCATCTGAACCGCCTTGCTTTCTTTCGTTTTTTCAGCGTTTGGTAAAACCTCCGGTGAGAGAGAGGACACGAGCAGTTGATCTGGTGCTGCACAGTGATGTAAGGGCTGTGGAGCGAGCCGAGTTTGACCATCAGGTACAATTTCTATCTCTCTATGTGAATGCCGTTGGCTATGCTAAACAAACATCAGGTCCTTGTTAATTCTGCAAATTTGGGTGCCAAACAATATTTGTAACAATCCACAGCATCTGTAGAACTGTTGTGAATTGGTTAGTTTTTTTCGTGTGTTATCAATCAGGTGGCAGAAAAATTGAATCTTATTGAACAATACAAGGCTGAAAGAGAGAGACAACAGAAGGTAAACTTCTGACCTGTTGGAATCATCACTTCATATTTTGCAGCTCTTAATAACTTTACATCTCTGCTGTTCATAGTTGGCAGAAGAAGAAGAAATTAGGAGATTGAGAAAGGAACTCGTTCCGAAAGCTCAACCCATGCCCTACTTTGACAAGCCTTTCATTCCTCAAAGGTAATAATATTAGCTTATTTATATCTTACACTCCATATTCTTTCGAGAAACTGCCAAGCCATCATCCTAACTAATATTGTTTGTTTGCCATAGGCCAGAGAAGAACAAGAGGGTCAAATAGGCATTTGAAGAGCCTCCTCCTCCTCCTCCAAGGTTTCATTTTTTCAGTTTGTTTCTGATAATCAGTCATATTCTTTTATGTAGTGTGTAAACAATAAGCATTGTTATTATAGTAACAATCTTGGCAGCAAAAATTGCATTACTTAAAGCAATGATCAGTGCAACAATTTGTGTGGTTCCAAAACTGCAATTTATTCATTTCCCAAAACCTTCAATTGCAAAAGAACAATCTGAATGAGTATAACAAACTAGGCCATCAATATATATATATATATATATATATATATATATATATATATATATATATATATATATATATATATATATATATATATATATATATATATACCTGGCATAACTCGGTAAACCCAATCGTGTGACCCTAGTCGACAAAAGACAGGTAAACCTGTCTAGGTTGCTCATGCTCAAACTTGTGATTTCATCATTCTGAGAATCAGAATTGCAGAGAAAATTACAGACCAAAGCTCTTGCTGTTATGGTATATACATTCAAGTAACATTCCATATAGAAGATCAACATCTGCCTATGATCTTATAGAAAAATTGGGAAGTAAAAACAAATGCAATGAACAAAAAAACATAGAAAGATTGCGCTTTAATTCATTGCATGCTAGAGAGAAACAGGGATGAAGATGAACCTTGCCGGAACGTTTAAGATGAGCGGAGTAAGCCTTCACGAACTCGTGAGGGAAGCCGTCCTTCACAGTTCTCGCCGTCGCCATTGTTTCAGTTGATCGGACCAACCGCAAAGCAGACGGAATGGTTTCGTGCCGTCGCCGGAGATTGAAAAATGTATTTCTCCATAGGGTTTTCAGAGTATAAAGCGCGGGAGAGATGTAGTAGTTTGGCAAATTATTCCAACACAATTCGTAATTATGGATATAAAATTTTAAAAATTATAAACATACAGTTTTATAATTATGAATATAGAGTTATGAACATAAAGTTTTATAATTATGAATATAGAAGAATTCAATAATTGTAAATATGATATTTAAAAATTATGAACATAAAATATAAAATTTAATAATTATGAATATAGAGTTTTGTAATTGTGAATATAGAGTTCAATAATTGTGAACATGAAAGTAAAAAATTATAAACATAGAATTTTATAATTATAAATATAGAGTTCAATAATTATGAACATAGAACAAAGGTTGACACGTTTCCATGCGGCCCGAATGTAATAAGATTTGGGCCCAAAAGCCCATTATTTGAATGAATGGAGAACAGTGAGGTTTGTCTTCACGGCAATTTATATCGTGCATTAGGGCGCGCATTGCATTGTGCATCTTGATGCGAAAAGACGTCATTTTATTTTTTTTTTTTTTGAATTTTCGCTATCCTGTGTTGGCGGTTAATTTTATTTATTTTTTTAAAAATTCATGTTCAAAAATGTACATAGTTTTATATTAGAATACACATAATTGTATACATAAATGTACATAATTGTATAACAAAATACACATACTTTTTTAAAAAGATAACATACATAATTTAACATAATACATAATACACATAAACTTTTAATATAATACACATAAATTCTTAATATAATACACATAAATTTCTTATTTCGGACATACATAATTATATAAAAAAATATACATAATTATATAAAAATATACATAATTATACAAATAAATATACATAATTATATACTATAATGTACCTAATCACGTCACCTACCTACGTAACGTTTTGGAGGCGCGGGATGCGCCATGGTGCAGGTATAACAACTGTGTCTTCTCTCTCTAGTCTCTAGACTCGATTCTTCTTCTCCATTTTCATCCGGCGAGTCTGATCAGAGCAAACCTGGACAGCCTCAGTTTCACGGCCATGGCGATCCGGCATTTTCCATGTCCTGCCGCCGTCGCCAATTCCACGCAATCTCTTACACTCTCTCCGCCGCCACCAACCGCCATGATTTACGAGCGTTTAGCTGAAGGAGTCAAAGAAAAAACGTAACCGCCTTAAGAGCCCCGATCACCGCTTCCTCCAGTACAACTCTCCCCACCCTGGATATTTTATCAGATATTATTCAGCATTCAAAATTTGATCATAATCGTATTGAGCTTGAACGCAGCGTCATCCTCAGGGAGACGGAGGAGGTGAGTTCCTTCACATTGACTGAGAACTTTAGATGGCGTATTTTGGATTCTTCTTCTTTATCATACTTGATCATTGTCTTAGATGTGCATTACTGAACATTGATTGTACATAAAGTAGCAATCTCTATGTATATTTGTTAATATGGTGTGGCACTTACCATTTACCTGGAATCACTGTAATAAACTAGGGTTTCGTAGGCTCTGATCTGTTACGAACACCTAAATCCTAAATAGATTCAATGGAGAAATGCTACATAATACTAGTAAAACTCAATTTTTGTTCCAATGGTAAAGTTGAAGGCCAGACAGAGGAGCTTATTTTTGACCACTTACATAGTTACATGCAACTGTGTTTCAGTATACTCCTCTAGGTAGGAAGATTCTCGGTCCTGCTCAGAATATAAAGTCCACCACCAAAACACATCTACAAGACTACATATCAACTCACTACACTGCTCCAAGAATGGCACATTTATGTATCCTTTCTCTCCCATTTACATGTTTCAAGCTTAACTTGACACTCATTATTTGTTTGATTTTTATTTTTGGATGACGAGGGGAACTAGCAGCCACTACCCTACCCCGGTAAACTCCACCTTGTGTCCCTAGTGGGCAAACAACACAAGGAGGTAAATGGCTCAAACCAAGAAAGCCAATAGGCCACTCCCAATGGGAGTTGGACTTATAACTTTGTAGTTACCAAGTCAGCAGTCTGACCAACTTGACTATGGTTACTATTCTAGGCAAGTAAAATAGCAGTATCAGTAGGTTACTCTTACACTGCTTGTTGTGGTGCCGATGTTTACTATTCTTTTTAGATATGTTTCTATACATGCTGTGTAACATTCTGGGGATGTGTGTTTATGTGGTTGTTGCCTCTGGTCCTGTTAAACATGAAAATTTTGTTAAGTTAAGAAGATGTTAAGGAAGCTGCCGACGGACCCAACTACTGGTTCACAGTTAGTTGCTAGTCTGATTTGAGTATGCCATTTTTCCTCCCATGAGGGCATTGTGATGTTTGTTATGTGGAACTCAGATCAGGATGATGGATGATGACATTCCTGTTGCACAATTGCTGTTGCATTCGAAGGTGTGTCTTGGAGACTTGGACAGCAGATCCAGACTCTATTGCTCTATAATGGTTATGTAGTCAATGTTGGGATCTTGGAATAAGAATGCAGGTGGTGGAAAGCACATGGGGTTAGTATGACTGCATTTTATTGAACTGGTTGAGTTCATTGCTGTGAGGTTGTTTGATTGATTATCTCATTGGTACGTGTTCTGATTGGCCCAAATTGCGCAGTTCCAAGCTTGCACAAAGGATTGGCATCAATGAAATTGCAGAAAGCATGATGGCTTTCAGTACAAACTACAAAGATACTGGTCTCTATGGTGTATGTGCTGTTGCCAAGGTAGGCAGTTAGAGCATCTCCAATAGGGGGAAAAGAGGAAAGATTTGAGGTCTTAACTTAAAAAACCTGTCTCCAAAGTGGGACCCACCCAAAATAAAAGAAATTCGCCCTCCCCTTGTGCACGCCAACTGCGGAGACAGCAACGCCCAATCGGCGCATGCATTACATATGCTTGCTGGGCGCGTTAACATAGCTCTTTCACTTTTTTTTTTAAATACTTCTTTTCCTCCTTCCCCTCCTAAGTGGCATCTTAAAATTTGTGAAAAATTTTGGCTATTGAGGATGCTCTTCGGCACTCTGATCTCTAGTGCATCAAATTGGGCTTGGATTATCTAGTTATGTCCACCAATCAGAACTATTTACCATTATTGCTATATTTTGATCACAGCCTGATTGCTTGGATGATCTGGCCTATTCAATTATGTATGAAATTAGTTCGTTATGCTAGTTCCAGATACTGATGTGACTCGTGCTCCAGATACTGATGTGACTCGTGCTCGTAACCAGGTGTGTAACACACACCTTGTTTCTGCCTTAACCATGTATTAAAAATTTTAATTCATTCTCTTGCCACTTTTGTTTCCTTCTCTCCACTAACGGTTACGGCTTTTCAAGTTGAAATATTCACTGCTGCGTCCAGTTAGATGGAACCAGTCCTGTCGCTGAAGATATTGACTGTCAGGTAAACTTGTGGAATAAAATCAGCGCTATTTTCAATGGACTTTTTAGTTGACTTCCAACCCTATAAATTTCACTTGCATGTATCTGAATGAGAATGAGATGTAGTTTTTTGTCGAATTCTTTGTAATGTAATCCAAATGTTCATTCAGAATCCCTTGTACGTGGAGCCTGAACAGTAGAATATGAATTCACAGCACTATCAGCAGTTTCAATTTTTTATGTATTGAGAGCACATAACAGTTTAGAATTGCAGCTTGTACAATATTTTTACCAGAATAAACAAACATGCCTCTAATTAAAGAAAGTGCATTTCATTTATGGGATCGAGTTCCTAACAGAATAATGTACACACAGATTGACCGAAGAGTTAACCTCCCCCCAAAAAATTTCCCAATTAACCACCCCGTAGACAACATGAAAACATTGGATTAAGGCGTCTAACCCTAAAACCCTAGGTTAAATTGTTACATCTATAGATGCAGCAAATTACCTTAAATGGAACAAAAACTCCTTACCAAAAGCAGCAACTGGCTGACTGGAGTTGCTTTCTGATGTCTGTTTCCTTGTCATGCCTCCATTTTTGTTATGTCCACTATTGCTTTCTGTGTTTCCTACGTACTGTACATGTCAGTTTCGCCTGTAAGTATTTACAAGTGCAGGCTCTGCCTAGTCATTCTTCTGCCCCCGCTGTTATTCAACTTCCGTACCCCACCTGTCCAATCCTCGTCATCGTCTTCGTAATCATCCCCAACCATTCGTCCAGATCTCCCACCTCTTTTTGGTGGTGGTCGTTTCCTTTTTATATTTGCTGTGTAGATTGAATAGTCAACTGTGTCTTCTTTCATTGCATTCTTAAAGTCCTATGAGGTTAAGTGGGGTAAAGAAGCATGTTTAGCTCGAGTTGCAATAAATGCTGTGGGGCATGAAATAAAAAAGACTCAAGTAACTTTCACTATTTCAGTGCACAACTTACCTGGTATCGCCTCGTGAAGTCTTCGTATGTAATTGGGGGATCAATTCTTATGTCACTCACATTGAAGGGAATATTCTGCCTAGAAAGGACTTCGCCAGGTTTCTGAGGTTCATTGGGAGAATATGCCTGTCAAAACAAACAAATAAAGCCATGTATGGGTGACATTGAGATTTTAGCACAAGGATTTCACAACAAAATGTACAGAGTTTTCAAGATATTTAAAAGGAACCAAACCTGGCAACGAGCATCATTTAGTCCATAAATAATCTTCAGGTGCCTCTTAAGCCTCAGAAGCAGTTGTAGTGCACCCGCTTGCAGAAAATCCGCCTGTGTCAGTTTTATGTTTCCAAAAAATAAACTAATCAAGCCTCCATCTAAAACTGTGTTCATGTTGCACTAGCAAATTCTCATATGATAAAATAACACAAACAAATGCACTTCACAGTCAAGTTGTGCTCTGAATGCTGTCGTGGGGTGAATCAAGGCTTTGGGAAAAAAAAAAAAAAACCCATGTTCTAATTTTTCCTCATATGAAAGGGAAGGAGACTCCAACCCAACTCTTCCCACCACACAGGGCACCAAAGAGGAAGGGAGGAGGGGTGTTTTGGCAATTCCAATGTTTAATTAGTGGTAAGCTGAGCACTAAGTATGATGAAGGGGAGAAAATGTCTCTTTCTGGAAACTTTTACATCTACCAAGTGTTTGAATAAAACAGGAAATGGGGGCCTACTTAGGATTGGAAACTCCTTGGTGCACTGATTAAAAAACGCTTGTGCTTATAAATAAAAATACCTGAACTTTCTGCAAAACATCATTCGATAAGTCATGTGGATTTACTGAGGGCATATGATTTGCATTTGAATCCAATGACACACGAAATTCACATCCCTGATAAGCAGTCGACTCATCCGGCGTAACCTCATTGTCAACAACAGCTCTAGTCTGATACATAGCAGACTGAGCTGCCCCATTTCCATTTATGTTCTGTTCACTTCCTTGCAGGAAATGAAGAAAAGCCTTCAGATTTGCCTCCACATTTCCAGCTCTGACTTGGATAACACGGTTTATGGTATAGATCAAATAAAGCGGTTCATCAGGCAATGTAAAAGGTAGCAGTGCCAGGATTTCAGTACAGTATCTGCAATGAGAAAAAAAAAAATGATACCGCAACATGGACAACTTCAAGGTCAGTAATTTCAGATGATAGACAAGTCATTAACTGTTCCGAAAATAGATAGCCACAACTTACATCAAAAAAGGGATAACTGCATCATCCCAGCTTGGTGTATCATATTTGCGCACAACTGATGCCATAAATTTGTTTCTTGAAACACGATTCCCACGGATGAGTTTGTAAATTCGCGAAACACCAAGCCTTGAATATGTAAATGAGCCAGTATCTGATTTTGCTGGTACATTTCCAGGAACTTTAAAATTGGCTTTGGCATATTGACTGTCAGATCCACCTTTACTCATGGCTTGCATGAACTGGAAAGACATTCGAAGCCCATCCCCAAGGCGGTTTTCAAAAAAGGCTGGATATCTGAAACCATGCTAAGACTGATTAACATGTGCACATCAAAGTCAAAAGAGAAGACATTACAGACAACATACTTTTCGTTCATGTTCATCAACAAATGATGCGCTAGCTTTGAATTCTGTTCTTCTGGATCTGTTTCAAGGGCTATAAGGTAAGGAACACAAGTGATGGGATGAACTAGGCCTTGACGCAACACAATCTCTACAATCTGAGAGGGAAAAAAAACACAAGAGTGAGTATTCTTTACACTATAATTGAAAAGGAAAATCTACACAACCAGAAATCCAAATAATGGATGCCATAACTTATTTGACCCATGTTTTAAATGTAAGCAGGCTACATAATAAGAAATTTCAGTGAAGCTTAAATGGCTCGAGAGCTGCAAAACCATGCTCCAGCTCGTTTTAGTTAAACTGGCAAGGCTTGTATAAAGTTTGCACTCAGACCTTCAGATAACAAAATCAGGACTTCACCTTAAGAGCAGACTGCCGTACTTGTTCATTTGCATCTAAAGACCTTCCTAAGATTTTGTCCCAATAGAACTGAACTATGCCTCCACAAATGTTGGTATCACCAGCACCTGCAGCTACAGGGACACAATGACTACTGTCTGTTGAGTTATTAACGTCATTTTCACCAGTCGTATCTGCTGCTCCCATTTGACTTTCTGCGTCAAGAAGATATTCGTACATGTTTTGCAATGCTTGCATCTGTGAGAGAGAAAAACAAGTGAGCATATACTACACGCCAAATAATGAAATAGGCGGCACCAAAATGGTTACCTTGAGACGGGTATCCGTGCTAGCAGAAAGTGTTGCCTCCAAAATTTTCCCCATGTCATCTCTCAGCATAAAATCAGGCCGGGCGATCAAAACATATCCCAGTGCCTGAAGAAATTATATATTTATATAGTCAGGAAAATGGTGTGCACATCACACTGCTAAAAGGATCTGTACAGAAGAGAAGAACTGACCTGTAAAGACCTAACCTTGATCACAAAATCATCAGCGTGTAGATATTTTTTAAATACATCCAGGCTGCTTGCCAAATTTACGCTATTGCTGTGTTGGGATGCACTCAGTAAAGTGCTACCATAGCGTATTAGCAAGCCCAAACAGAAGAGAGATCGACCAACTTGCTGAAAGTCAAAGCAAGCACGCAGCAACAAATTAGATTAGCATAACCAGCGCAAGAGCATATTATGAAAGTAAGAAATTTTTAACCATGAGAATGATTATTACTAGGTGCTACACTTTTGAATGTGCAGCAGACGAGAAATGTGATGTGAGCGCAGCATATTTCCAAAGAGGCATCGGGATTAAAGATAATTCATCTGCTAATAACAAACCTGCTTATTATCAAGACCAAAACCAAGGCTACCCAAACGTCTGAAGAATAACTGAACAAGATATTCAACAACTGTTGCACCTTTTCCTGCTACTTTACTTACAGAGCAGAGGCACCTGTCCATTTAACAATAAAATGTTTCTCATGAAGTGAATTGAAGTAGCAAGAAATATAGACATGATTTACAAAAACAATAACATAAAATTTATTCAGGGATAATAGAAAACTCAAGATATTGAAGAGAAAGCATATTACTTGATGCAAGCATGGACAACAGTTAAGAAAGAATGCCGAACAATCATTTGCTTCAGATCTTGTTCAAGTTCTTCAATAACACTTTGAGGAAGCTTCCGTAGCAAAGGCAAAACAGAATCAATTACAAAGATTATACTCTCCAGAAGTTGGGCAGCTACTCGGTTGTCAGCCTGGATGCAGCCATGCAGGTAAAAGTGAGAAAGGCTAAATACTGGTACTTCGTAAGGAGTATTCATAATTCACTCTCAAACAAGGAGAACACAAGCACTTCCCCAAACAACTAATATCAAACACTACAGAATGACACAAAGGTATCTAAAACACTGAGTACATCAACCCAGCCAGGTATGGACCAAATTACTAAAACAGACAATTAAACTAACAGTGTAAACTCAAAAGGATAAACGTAAAGCATCATGCAACTAAGCTTACAAAAGTACCAGCAAAATGAGTGAATTAAAACAAACACGCATTTTGCAATGAACAAAAATACAAGAGAGACCCCTTTTTTGGTAGAAAAATTCAATTTAATCCTGCACTCCCAGGGCACTGCCAATGAAAAATAGACATATTTCCTTGGGGTTTAAATTCCAAACACCTTTGTCTTATTCTAGCACCTCCCAAAGGGACAGGATCATATGGGAAACCCAACTTGTGAGGTCAATGTTATTTCAGAACTCAATGAAGTGCAAAGGAGCTAGCACAATTTCACATGTTCAACCTTTCTGTTCAGTTCAATCCAAGTTCAAAAGGGGTGGAATCACTAAAATCTATAATTAGATAATTCTCAAAATTCATGCAGCAAAACTTTTCCATACAGAAAATCAAGCTTCTCTGACAACAAAAATAAGGCAACAAATAATACTTTATTAGGATTAACTAATAAATATAGAAAAGGAAAGAAAACAAACCTGACTCTTTAAGTAAGGCTGCAGTGTGACCACAAATCTAGAAGGATCTGAAGATGGTGCACAAAGAGTGGGATCCACAACACAAAAGGCATGCAACAGCAGCATATATGGAAGCATTCGAGCCTCTCCTCCATAATTCATTTCTGCCACCTGAGCATTCGGATATTCATATGCCAACGCATGCAACAAACAAAACAACAAAAAGGAGCAACCAACAAACAACACGCATTAAAACAAAGAACCTGCAGTATTTTCTCCAACAAGCACTTGCACATAAGCTCACAACGCCTACGAACTGAAGCAAGTGATACAGGGTTGATACCAGCAGCTTTAGCTGACTGCGGAAAGAAATCAAGGGCTAAGTTACGTTTAATAACAGTTACAAGAGGTTGATGGGTTGGCATCCTTCTCATCATGTCAACAATTTGCTCAGTTTTCTTAGACACCTCAATTGGAACAGAACTGCCATCTCCAAAAGACTGACTATGTGAACCAGAAGATTCATCAAACCAGAAGTCATAAAATGTCTTGCACACGAGATCCTGTATGAAGAAAGATTATGACATGTAAGATTAACCACAAGGCATATGGTTATTAAATCCATTCTATGATAATTACCTGCACACTCGATTCTTCATCATTAACACGGGAAATAATCTCAATACAAGCAGTAGAAAACTCTGAGAAGTTGGAATTTGAAGTGCACATGTCCCGTATGATTTTAATAGCTCGTTTCCGTACGCTTACTCCCGTATCCTTTACTCTCTCTGCCACTTTCACAAAGTACTATGCAAAGAAAAAGAACATTCAAGTACAATGTTGCATTCAGTGGACATGGAGCTGACAAAACAACAGCAAGGCACAAATCATCCATTTCAATACCTTTAAACCAACATCAGGGTGTGAAGCAATGTATCGACCAACAAGTTCCAAAGCTGCTTCTCTCACAGATATAGCAGAGTCACAAAACCTCCCTTCAACAGCAGTTTGGACAAGCTTATCATACAAAACCTCTGGATCGGCCTCTACAATGATGCTGACCTACTCTCATCACAAAGAAAGCATTAAAGACAAACGGTAAATCACAAGATTAGAAAACTCAAACAGATCCAAGCAATGTTAGTGAGACCCACTTACTGCTCGCAATGCCTTTGCACGGATCACAGGTGAGTTCTCCCGTAAACTGGCCTGAAAGTAATGTACAGTAAAGATAGACATTCTAATTTGGAAGAATTAAATCAGAGAGTGATATTTCACCAACCAAAAGCACTTGAAGAATCTTATCAAATCCTCTAGAGAAAGAATTATTTTGTCCCAATGCCGAGGTTATCTTCTTTACTGAATCCCTTGTCATTAGTGATGCAAAAGAGCCAGAATCACGCAAAATTGCTTTTGAATTCAACTTTGAGATATAGTAGTAGAACTTCTCTTCAGAACCAGGATCGTCTTTGTACCATAGACAAAGATAAAACCTACATAATTATTCCATTTTTCATTATAACAATACTTGGAGGAAATGAAATAACATTAACAGTGTAGATATCATGCTCATAAAGTCACAGACCACCGGGTAAAAATATTTGAATCGTCTCCAGACTCAGCCTCTTGAAGGTAAGTCAGAAGTAGCATCTGAATGGTCTCCAAATTTGTAATTGAATCACTAGCTTGGGAAGGCTTTTTAGACTCGCGTTTACTTTTGCTGCCATCCATGCCCTGGGACTCACAGTGTGATTTCAATGCAAGAAGTTGCTTTTTAGAGAGACACATCTGGCAATGAAAGTTGCGATTAGGAAGTTCATGCTTTCTAACTCCTATGCAGTCAACATGAAATACTCTCTCACAACCACGGCATACAACCAGCGATTTTTCATTCCTGGTGTCCAAACAAACAGAACATGCATCACGGGGTGAGTTGCTATCATTGATGTCCCCAGAAACCAACTCTTTCACTATCCAAAATGTTTCCTCCTGAACACGCACTGCATCTTGTTTCAACCTTGCAGCAATTGTACCAAGAAGATCAATGGCCATTGAGCGAATAGAAATATCTTTAGATTTCAGCCCAGCATTTTGAAGAAGTAAAACACAAAGAACCTGCAAATAGTTCTCTCTTCAATGTACAAATAATCAAATTGTATATAAGAAAGCTAGTGCATAGTCATAAACTTACCTCCAAAAGAGGAGCAGAGGCAGGATATTCTGGTAAGTTCAAAGTAATTAACAGATCCATGACTATATTCTCCATCACCATCTTCAACTCGGATGCTTCTTGACTTTTTGAATTAGTCAAACGCTGAAGCACTCGACTCCAGAAAAGACAGCAAGCGTCAGTAACTGACTCGTAGCATTTTGTAGGGCAACTGGCATCAAGTGGGACTTCTAGGGAAATATTAGATAATGTTCGCTTTAAAACTTCAGGAAGGTTTGAGCTGCTGTGAACTAGCTGAAGCAACAAAGCAGTGACAATCTGAATCTGCTTATGCTCTTCCTCAGGAAGATGATAAGTTCTAGGTATGCGCTTAGAGGATGGTAGCTTCAGAAGAACTTGGAGTGTTTCATCCATCATGTATGCACGATGATTCGAGTACAAGTAAAATATCTGGATGCCCAATGTTGTAGACTCCATAAAATTAGCATGACAGAAGTTATTTATTTAAAATGGAACTGAAGAAGTAGTTTACCAGTCCTTACCCCACTTATCAAACTGATTGCTTTCAATTGCAAAAGATGTATATTATCCACCGAAAATGTCGTGAAGCATGTCTTCACAAGTTGAAGAATGCAACTATCTGATAAGCGCTCTATTGCACACAAATCCTTGACAAATCCAAGAATGACACAAAGCTTCTGAAGTATATTATTCACGGCAGCAGATACCCTAAGAATATAGCAGAACATAATACTAGGGTTAATTTGGAAATACAATGACTCATAACCATAAATCAAGGAAATGAATTTTAGCCATACTTGTTTGATGCTGTCTTCCTTATTTTCACAGTCCTTGCAGGCCGCTTCTTCTTAGATGCTGATCCGAATTCCCCATAAACTTCCTCATCATCTTCACCTACAAAAGTGACAACAAAGAGATAGCGCATACTATTAGAAATAAGTTTTGGCATAATAATTTAATAGCAAAGCAACCACGACGCTCAGCACATTGGACTAAAATAAAACAAAATAAGTTTTGGCATAATAATTTAATAGCAAAGCAACCACGACGCTCAGCACATTGGACTAAAATAAAACTGGAAGAATGATGCAAATAAGGAGAAATTTTTGAAAATGACCGTAAGTGTGAGGATGTAATTTTTTTTTGGTCCAATATTGTAGAATATACTTAATCTATCAAGGTGCTTCTGTATCAAGGTAGATAAAAAGTGAAGAAGAATTGGGGTGGGAAATTGGAAATAATTTTGATGTAAAAAAGTAATAGTTCCAAGAAAGAATGGAAGTGATTTGACTAAACAAATATCATAGGAGAATCAAGAATGTAAACAATGCAGTATTGATTAATGCATTAAACAATGCACTATTTTCTACATTAAGCCCACTTCCAAGGGTGAATAAAACAACTGATATGAATATCCTAATGATGAGCAAGTGAAACGAGAAAGTAAAATTCTAGAACTAATTGATCTTTGAGTTGATAAACTGAACAATTAGTTTAGTGAATGCGGAAATGGCCAGGACACTTGAAACAAGGCAAAAGGGAGCTAAGGCATTCCTGAGGACGAGAAGGGTCAGGTGTGCTCAGTAATATATTTACAAGAACCTCAGTGAGACACGAGGCCTCCAAAAAAATCAGTCCAAGAATCTTAACCACAAATTATTAATTTCCACTTGTAAGGAACCTGAAATTCTACCTTCAACAACCCCATTCTCCATTGGTCTATGCAGTGCACGATATACTGGATCAGAAGCCAGCATCACATCTATGACTTGGTGCCTAGAGAACTCCAGGATTCTCTCAATGATCTGAATGTGGAAAGTACTGATCAGTATAAAATAAAGATTAATGTAAACAGAAACTTAAATGAATAGGTGACAAAACAGAGAAATATTAGTCCAACAAGAGTGTCTGTCAGTGAAGGTTTTAAAGTTCTTGGTATAGAAAGTAATCAGTAGACTGGAAGAAGAGTGCACCTCCTCTTTATAGAGCTGCTTAGGCATCCCATTGTAAGCCATAATTGCCAAAGATGCATGAACAGACTCCAATGCACTATAAATAGTTGAAACAGTCTCTGAATCTGGCTGTAACATAGAGACAGAGAAATTTATAATTAGAAAGGTATCTGGAAAGTATTAAATTGAATGAATAATGGCCTTAGTTGTTCCTTTTTAGGGGCAGGAAAGAGTTGCTTAAGATACAGATGCAAGGTATATTTAAGTAATATTTGCCTAGGATGTACCACCATAAGTGGCATTTCCTAAACCCTTTTGAAGATTAGATTGGTGTCAAAAGACCCCATGCCCTATGGAGATAAATCACAAATAGAGCTAGTATATTTTAAAATGCACTAATATCAACAATAAATTTAAATTTTGTTATTTTGAACATATCAAAAATTATCGTAGCAATGTAACTTCACTTTTTAGAATGTATTACAGATATAAGCAAAATAGATGAAGCAAATAGCCTTTTTTTTTTGTTCTGAGAATTATACCATGACAGTTGCTAGGAAAGAATGAGCATAAAAGGCCGACAGAAATAAGATGAACAATGATTCAGCCATAAGGTTATTGCTAATAGCAACAGTAGGCATTAATTACAAAATAGTACTATCGAGTACAAAATTTGAAGGTTAACGGTCATCAGATGTGTATAACATAAAGCAAGCAACAGGCAAGAATAATTAAGCTATGAAGTATATAATTTCATTTTCCCTTGGAAAATATGAACTAGAATATTCTTTTGTAACAGAATTTACTATTTAAAAGAGGAATTATTTTTTGAAGCAAAAATTAGGAATACGAGCAATCTACAGTTATCATGAACAACAGGAAGCAACTTACATGATTATTGCACCTATGAACCTAGAAGAATATTGATGGTTACCTATAGACACATTGGTGACAGTCAGAGAGTCTAACAGCAGTCTCAATCCCTATCCAGGCCATTGTCTAATCTAGACTAAGGGATCATTTGGTTCATGGGCTTGGGTTGATTAATCATGGTTAGCTTAATGTTGCCTTCCTCTTAGTCTTCGGGGATAGGTTTATCCCAAAGTTCTTAACCATCTAGGCTTGAGCCAATAAAGACTTAAGGCTATAGGAGATGGATTGTAAGAGAACTTACATATTCACATTCATTAACAGATAAACCTTCTGCTCGATGGATCTGTTGATCTAACACCTTTAACACTGCCACAAGAATATCTACTTGAATCAAATGTAGCACTTTCTTAGCTCGTAGGGTCATTATGTCATTTACAAGCCCTCTAAGATCACCAACAGACAATGGTAACCATTCTGTTTCATCCCTCTCATCATCATTTACTTTTGCCTTCATACAAAGGTCTTCCAACATCTTTTGGAAGCTTGTTACTAGAGCATCTGAAAAAGAGAAAATACATACTTTTTATATAAATATATAAGTGTGTGTGAATAAAAGCTAGAAAAAGAAAAAGAAAATTCATTAACCTTGGTGAGCAGAAGCATCACTACTGCTTGCCATCAAAATTTCATCGTTTGCTTTTTTCTTTCCTCTTTGTTTTCTAGAAGGTGTAGTGGCATCCTGCAGTTCATTGGTAAGTATTAGTGAGCATAAAATAACTCTAACCAACTAATGGACCAAAGTAAACTTACATTAGCAACATATTCGTGTTGGTTATAGTGAATTTCTAGGACATCCCTCTGTGGTTGTTCGAAAATAGGTCTGCTCTCAAAAGGTTTTACTTCACTTGATTTGTGCACTCGTACAGGCTCCTTAATAGGACCTGAGAAACTTGAACAATGCACTAAATTATAAAGCCATGAAATGCAAAATCATACCTACAAATTCACTTCCTGTGCCCAAATAAGCAAGCTTCATAGGAATCAATCAAGAATCGAGATAAACATCTTCTCCAAAGCCAGTATCAAGAAAAACCCGTATCATAGTTCTAAGCATTTTGAAAGGAAAATTTTAACTTAACAAAATCAGACTCAAAGAACTAGAAAACAAAATGAATTAGCTGCTTTGAGACCAACTAATCACTTTTCCACAACTATTCCAGCTTTCATGCATCCATAATACAGTTAGTACAAGATCCAACAAAACAACCAAATTCAAGAACTTTATATTAGTCACTGATTCTTAAAGTATCCATCTCAATTACATTAAACGTAGTTTGCAAAAGTAAAGGCAGGGATGGGGGTGACCAAATAAAAGTGTTGAGTAATAGTTAATAGTCTGAATACAATCTTACTTAAGGTCGAAAAATGTAAAGATTTAATGGAAAGAAAATTGGCATAGTAGACCTTGTTTACCTGGAGCTCTGCAATCAAATGCCTCAGAGTTGCATCTAAGAACTTCATCATACAGATCCACATGCCCTATGAAGCCACAAGGTTGAGGAGCCACATCAGCTCGAAGGTTCCTGCAAATGTCAAATGAAGTGAATTGTATGTACAACACAAATTTTGCCTTCTGATTCTTTAATTTCTTTGAAGTGCCCTCTTTCTCTCTCTATTGTGTTCTTTTCTCTATCCGTTCTGTTTTCTGTAATTAGCATTGTTTCAGGGAAACTGAACCTCTAAGTGCTTTAAGCGCATAATAATTGGAAATTGTTCATCAACAAACCATGTAAAATCACTAAATGCTTTGCCTTACTAACCACTAATATGACAAAACCCGATAATCACATAAAACGAGATGGCACTATGCATTTATGCCACTACTAACAATTCACCTTAACAAACCCATTTGATTGTTTGATTTCATAGGACATAATCCTATTTACTTCAACTCTCAAGGCAGCAGCCCCTTGTTCAACACATAACATTGTCCCATCTAACTAATTGTATTATGGTTCTTATATGAAGCTCATCATAGAACAATGAGCACAGCATACGCAAATCATAATTTACCCAGACAGTGAATTCTAGAGCGAAGTAGAAAGTTGTGGAGATGTGGTTTTATTCCTAAGAGCAACAACATTCCAAGAGGGACAGAATGGTGAAAGAAACACCTTATTCAGCCCAATGCATGAAACCTACCAAACCTGCAACCAGAGGTGAACCTATACCTTTGCTCTCTCTTCATCAAACAGCCATTATAATTTTTTATTTCCGAATGCAAGCACAATGCCACTTGCAAAATATATGTATACAATTTTTACATCCAAGCAACCTAGTGTTGCCTCCACAACCCAGTTCCTTTCCAAGGAACTTGCATATTTAAATAGCTAAAAATTTCTGTTCTCAAATAATTAAGTGTAGTAGTATATACAAGATTCTTGAGAAGCTCCAACAGGTTCTGAACTACGGCAGCACTAAAAGCACTTCTTGAATAAAAATAACTAGAATAAAATGTTCTGATGCATTTGAGAGGAATTACACAAAGCCATTCTACTCAAAGAATCTTCAATATACATATTACTCATACACTTTTTACAAAATCAACTCCTATACATTTTTCTTTAAAGAACATGTGGATGCTTGAAAGCAGTTTCAGATATTATTTATTCTCCCAAATACAGCATAATTAAAAGTTTTCAACTTCCTTCTTAGAAAGAAATCTGATTAAATGATAGGAAGTAGGAACAACAGAAACTACTACTAATACTACTACAACAACAATAATGCTTACAAATTATAACACTTGAGTTGGCATTAAGTAGATCAGGCTCTATTTAGGAAAGCTCCAGTTGAAATTTAGATAGTTCTCATGTAGTCAACTATGCATGTTTTCTACCACAATCATTGTTAAAACTTTAAAATTCGTTAAAATTATCTAGTATGAAAATAAAAAGATAAAAGATAAATTATCTGGCAGTAGTAATAGCAGATAAAAATCAAAATAAAATACAGTTTTACAGAGTTTAACTCCATTGTTATAGTTCTTCCACTTAATTAGGAAAACAACAATAACAGCAGTAAAGGCAAAAGGCTTCATTTCTGCTTGAGAACAGAAGCCTAGGCACAACAGCAAAACTATAGCTTTTCATTCACTTTTTCATCTCAATTTAGCCTAAAACACAAAATTGAAAGCAGAAACCATATTTATGTGTTTCAACGTGCAAATTCAAACAATGTTAAAATCTCACTTACTAAAAATCAAAGCCTCAATCCAGGCAAAAAACGATATATAACTCAAAATCGAAGTTAGCAAAACGGTTTATCAAAAACTTACAAATACGAAACGTCAGTGCTCTGGAGCAGATCAGCAATCCTGCTAGCCTGACTGAGTACCTCACCCCGATTCAACGATCTCGGCTCGCTCTGCTCACTGGACAGCCGTAGCTCCTGCTCGACGGCCCCGCAGCACACCGGCATCGACGGCAACGGCAGACACGGCACGACTTCGGAGTGAACAGTGTTGGATAGGGCTATGCCTATTCCGCCACTGGCACTTGAACTCGCCATGGAATCAATCGTGTGCTAGGTGATGAACTGTTTACCGGTGACTATCAGCAGTCATTTAGCTCCAAAATGCTGGGAATTCGAATCGGAAAGTTGGAAATTGGGGAATCTCAATTGACAGTTCGGACTACTATAGAAGAATTTGAACCAAAAAAACCAAAAAAAGCCCTAGAGAGAGAAAGTAGAGAGATAGATATACAACAAATGGCGGGGAAATGTTTATAGAAATAAATTTTGGGGTTTATTTTAGTGAGTGCAAGCTTGAATTTGCATTTAATCTTCGTCAAATGAAAACCAAAAATGAGCTCACCAAGTCGCCAGACCGTCGTGGCAGTCGAATTACGAAGATGCCCTTTTCGAATCTTGTCGGAGAAGCTGTCAACCCTGCACGATTCGAAATTTCGAATAAGCCACGCCGAAACGTGTAACTGATTTTTCGTTTTATTGTTGTTTGGTTTAAATGTTTAATAGAGTTATAATTCAAATGTACTAAAAATAGAGCTTATTACACAAACTTTATATAATTTTATTATATCCTCCATCAAACAATGTTTTATTTATTAAAAAAAATTAATTAATTTTACACATAAAGACTATATGTATGTCACTTGCCTATGTTATTTTAGCAAGCAATTACGATAAAATATGCTCTCAAATTTTATTTGAACAAAGTACAATTAGATTATCGAATTTAACAAACAAAACTTTTAAATAAACATATGAATTTTAAGTATGAGGTTGTGTTCAAACTCATGTGTATGCAACAATGTCATTAAGAAAGTTGTTTTTAATGGAGTCAAATAAAAAACTCGACTGAATTAATCTCTTATCACGTAATACAAATACTAGTGCAATATGCTAATAAAAATTTAACCCCTTTTTACATCTATTATTGAAGACTACCTATTATATTGCATCTATTTATGGATGGAGCTAAAGGCAATCAGCCAAACAGGTAATCTCAAATCAATTATTGCTAGAATTAAGGGGAACACTTTACTTGTATTGATGATCAATTATAGATAGTTTGGATCTATAAACTAGTACTTGCTTTGTATGTTATTATGAATTATGATTCTAAAAATGATGAATTAATGTAATTAATGTGGGTTGCCAATAATAAATAAGAACATTGCTAACCACAATATCCCAAATTCATCTTTCCTTCTTCTTCTTCTCCCAAAAGGTTAAATCTCAAACCCCAAGACCCACACCCCGACCCGACAGAGCATTTTGGAGGATGTAAATCACGGTGACTCAACGGCTCAACAGTCAGGGTCAAATGCCACAAGGGATATGTCAACTTTGGGCATAATTCAACATTGCCATTGCAAATGTTCGAACTTTGGTATCTTATTTCAAATACTATCTACTGAACTAGTGAACTAAACTCGTGCGGGCAACCATAGACAACCTAGGCTATAAAGTGTCTATTAACTTTAGTGGGTTGAGCAGTCGACTATAGACATCATAGACTGGTTTACCCTTTGCTGGCTAAGGGCGGCCTTCACCTAAACCGTACATTCAGGTAATGGATGCGGGTTTCTTCATAAATGAAAAAGAAGATTTGTAATCATTATAAATAAAATAATTATTTGGTGAATGAAATGCAATTGTTGCATGGGTATCGACACCCCAGTGGTAAGGGTGTGAAAACTTCGATTAATATCGATTAACTGACCGAATTACGGTTAATCGTTTTTAACCGATAAAATTCAGTTAACTTAATGATTAATGAATTTACAGCATTTCGGTTATTAATTAATTAAATTCGAGATGGTCAGTTAACCGAATAAACCAAATGATTAATTGAATATACACATATATGTGCGTGTATTTATTTATATTTATAATTTCAAAAGTTAGTTAAAAAATTTAATTTAATTTTAAGGATTTCAAAATTTAGTTTTTAAAAAATTGGTTAACCGACTGAGTAACTGAAAAATAGTTTGGTTCGATTAATCCTGTAACAGAAACTTCAGTTCGGTTAACGGTTAAATATTTAGAAATTTCGATTAATTCAATTATGTTAACCAAATCTACATCTCTACATGTCGCGGGTTATAAGGATTAGCCCACGGGTTACACAGCCTCCCCCATCCCCCTGCCCGTGCCGTGGGTCAGGCCCCTATGGCCTTCTCCAATCCACCGCGTTTCGATAGCTCTAATACACTAGTACCAACACCCCTACAATAAACTAGTCCAATTAAGTCTCGATTATTCTATCTGAACCCATGCTTAAACGACTCAAACCTTTATGCTTGAGCTAACATCTTTTCGTACTCTTATCCATATTCAATACAAAGAACTGAAAAGAGAACTTTAGTTGCCATATGAACACAGAGAGCAGGGAATAGCCAATAGTTGGTGTTAAATAAAGTCAGCTATCAAATACATGAATGCTCCACCAGAACAGCAATATCTAATCACTTATTGTTTTTGCATACATGACTGCAGAATATCCACCACACACTCCCTAGAAACAGATGGTATCAGAGGAGGAACAGACACACTTTACCTAGAGCAAAGAGAGTTGTAACTTGTAAGAGTGGACTGCGCTATCTATAAATCTTCTTTAATTTTACAGTATGATTCCACACAAGTATCTTCGTCTCCTCGAGCAAAATCAGCAATCAGCTTTGCAACCGAGTGTGGTTCTTCAACGTGGGGAAGATGCCCAGAATTTGGAATCTGATGCACTATGGCATTTGGTAGTTCTCTGCATAATCTCTGTATGGAATGCCACAAACATGGTCAGAAATAACGTGATAAAACGACTCCATTACTGAGAGATAAGGGAAGTTTTTGAAACTCACCATTGCAAGCTCATTGCTGACTAACTTATCCCGCATGCCCGTTATGACTAGTGTTCTTTGATTCACCTGTCCATTTGGAACCATTAGCAACAATAAATCGATAGGTATTCTAATTTTCTTGGGAAAAGAAGAAGGAAATATAGTGATTATAAGTATGATAAGTATAGTTACTGCACCATAAAGCGTGGAGACGTAAAGATAACCGAGTACCTTTTTAATTTGATGAACAACATTATAACCCCCACTGAGCATGAAATTGACCATAGCATCTTCCCACCAAGGTAAGAGACAGTGCAGTCGCCCCACCTGACGATTGATAACAGAAAACAGCTTCATTAAACACTTCACATGATCCATGTGGCGGTCCACTTTCTTCGTCAACCATAAACTGAATTACTGAAGAATTTAATAATGATAACAACCACTCTTTCCCGATGGTATCACATGCTTACATTGGTCCAGTCCAAGGTAGTAGATAGAGATAAGCCATCAAAACACTGTAACTTAGCATAGATCCGCAACGGGATGCTCTTCAACAAGGAGACCTGAACAAGATAACTTCTTAGCTAAAAATTCGACGGGATGAATGAACTAGAAGAACCAAAATTTGCAAAATAATTCCGGTTTCCTTGAATTCTAGGTGTCAAGTGTTTTACCCCGCCATATGCCACCATTTTAGGCAGCTTTGTCATAAATCCAGTTCCTTCTCCATAAACGCTTGCATTTATCAGAACCAGTTTATGAACCTGCATAGTAACGGGCTATAGCTCAACTAATTTACAAACAGCTTGATTACCAAAAAGAATCACGAAAAGTTCAAATTTTAGACTGAATGAGCAAATTTTGAGGGTAACCGATCTATCCAACCTTGACTAGATAGAAAGATGGTATGATTGAAGAGGGAAATGGAGAATTCTTACAGCTTCGGGAAAATTGACTGCAAAATCAATCGCGACTGCTGCACCAAGGCTTGGACCGACCAATATCATAGGCCTTTTAATGTAAGACTTCCATAGCTATCATGTGGTCGAGGGATTGGAGAGGGCAAAATTAGTAAAACTCACTATCAGAGTATCAGTGCAGATATGTGCAAACACAAAATGTTGATTAGAGATCCAAGACTTTCAAGAAAGCCACTAGATTGAACAGAACCTGGTAAAGATGGTATCTTTTTGATGCAGCATCACAGGTTGGACGTCTTTCTGTAATGGCAAGAGAAGAACAACATAAAGAACAAAAACAAACAAGACGAACACGTTGACACCAAAGTAAGGCAAGAAAACAAAACCTAAATCGGAGAAACCCCATCCAAGAATGTCGATCGCCCAAGCCTCGACACCAGTATCCTCGAGCAAGGGATACGTGCGCCTCCACTCCAAGCATGAGCTGAGTTCATAGAGTGAAGAAAACAAATAAGACCCACCAATCACTGAAGCCAAGTGTCAATTGAAACATTTTAAAAGAGTATTAGCATATACATACCTGTCAAAACAGTGAAGAAGGACAACTGGTTCCTTGTCACCTTGTATCACAGGCTTAATACAACTGCTCATTATACTACTCTCAGAGAACCCAACCTGCAATATTATCATCAAAATTTCAGTCTCATTGCAAGGGAAAAAGATGTGTCTATGCAAAATTTTAGCCATATCCTATTCCCATTGAGTTAGCACAGTAAAAACAAAATTTCAGAAATATATGAAATGAAGAAGATAAGCAAAACCCAGTGCGACCTAATACTCAAATTTCTCGAATGTTAATTCCAAATACAATGTGGAATTTAGAGAAACCTGAACAGGAAGCCTCTGGATTCTCCGGGCCAAGCTCCGAGCAAAAGGGTCTTTGATTTCGTGAACCTCCTTGGGGAGAAACAGCGGAAAACCACCACCGCCGGCGACACCAACGCCGTCCACATTCCCTCCGGGCAATCTCGAGCCTGGAATCTCCAGATCCATCACGCTTCGGGTGCCCCATTTCCCTCCACCCGGAGCAGAACCCAACATCAAAGATATCATCTTTTCGGCCGACCCTCACCCAACACACAAGTACAGTTCCCGAATCCTCTAACCCCGAAACTTCACACTCAATGCCAAAAAGAACCCTGAAATGTGGAAGCAACTAAGAGGGGGAAGTGACAATAGATAGACAGATTAGGCAGACGCACGTTGCAATGTTGCATGGCCAGAGAGAACTATCAGCTCTCTCTTATAGCACACTTACCTAGGAGAAGTGACAGTGTTAATACCGAACAATTAACGGGCTAATATAGTTATATAATACAGTTAACTACGGAGGAGTAATATGAGGTGGCCGGCGACGGTGATCGGTCTCTGTACGACGGGGCCTTGATTTGGAAAGTTTTGGACAAGGTCATGATGAACCTGAGAACTGAGAGGTACTTAAAATTGATTGATCAA